CCCCCCCCCCTTCCTGGCAAGCCCTCTTCCCCTTTCCCCCTTCCCCTTCCCAGCCCACCATCGCTTAATCATAATTTCACTCCTTTTCACTATTCTATTCAATCTTTTACTTTTCTTATTACTCTATATCTAACTACAAATTCTTAATTTATGTTTCTAATTATAAGAATCCTGTCTCCCCTCAACCCAAAAATAGTTTTAGAAAACTTATCTAAAACTCAAATGGTAATCAAGGGGGGGGGCTATGGGGACTTATCCCCCCCATGGATCAGTAAAATGTTTCATTTCCAGGGGGTTCCCCGTTGAAAAAGTTCCTAAGTACGCCCATGTTTAAGCTAACTCTTGATTTGTTTAGTTACATCTAACGCGAGTTATTGGATACCACATTGTACAGACCTATATTCCTTCTACAGTTTTTGTGGTGAGTAATTTTCCTTTCAATATTTTGAAACCATTTACAAATGAAGACTAATAAACGTTAACAGAATATGCAAACACTTTTAGTATGTCGGACTAAGTTAGAATGAAATATCGGGTCTACACTATTCTACACTAAATCTGATGGAAATTGCCGATATAAAAGTAACTTGATGTGAAAGATACCGACCTTTTTTAGATTTTGTTTTAAACATACTTATAGTGTGTTATATACTGTGCTGAAGTTCTTTATTCAATAGGGTCATTGAACTTTTATGACTTAGCTTCTGAAAAGCAGAATTCGGGTTATTTTGGCATATTCCCAAATAATTGTACTGTCACTATGCTTATACATATTCTGAGCTATCTATCTATCTAGCCGAGCCCGAACCACAGCAAGATGTACACGCATTTACAATGAAATTTGTTTTACACAAATATTTTGAATATGATTTTTATAATGAGGACCAACAAGTTTGTAACTAATGAAAAATCTATTAGTTATTGTGACTTTATTAGAATTTGTATAAACTAGACCATAGACACATTTTATTCTTTTCTTTAAAAAAAGATTGTTTAAAAACAATCGTATCGTTTTTTTTGTTTTTCTACGTCGTTGACAAAACGACCAGTTCGTTTTTCCAAAAAGTGAAAACGATGAATCCTACTAGGTATTGGCCTGGATGGGGATGTTTATCCCCGTTGAATCTGTACCTGGCAGGGTAGGGATGGGAATGACGACAATGTTGACCCTTACAGCTATGTTTAGCAGCACAAGGAACATTTAATATTGGTGTTTTGAAATCAAAAATTTTAATCTTTATCCTGAAAACATTTTATTTTAGCTTTTCCAATAAGTTTATTCATCCATAATAAAAATTACAAATTCAATTTCATGTAAAAAAATTTATATTCATCGCAAATTTTCATTTTCTAATTTTCCAATTATAAAATGTGAGTTTAGACAAAATGTTCCCAAAGTTTCTTACATATCAGTTCTGGATATTTGGATGCTTATCTGCATGATTTTTGTATTCAGGTAACACTTGATGATTTTGAAACACTTTAAAACATTTTCCCTAGGTAGACCCTTCCTATATCGCTGGGTCCGTAAACGAACGCCTTCTATATATACACTTTTCTTGTCTCTGCCTGTTTGTATCCAAAAAACGTCAAAACGGCTGAACCGAGCGGGCCCAAATTTTTTGAACTTTTGAATGAAATTACCACAAAAAATTTAGATGTTTCATATTTCACGAACAGAAATAGCTAAATACGCGACATTTTTTATTGTTTGATAATATAGGAAGGGAAAATGCGCAACAATCCAAAGTTAAAATTTCGAAGATGAACTCGCTGGAAGCCTGATTATATGCAGTACATTTAAATTAACTAAACATTCCTCTCTTGTCTTAAAGCATTTTTCAAATATCGTTTATCTTCTCCATAATCTACTCTTTCTCTAGGCTTAATTTGTTAAATTCCTAGAAGTTTTAGTCTTTTAATATTCATTCAACTCGTGACAAGATTTTACTCTTTTATCTACAGTCTATATTGTCAGTATAACTTTAGTCTTGTTTTCAAGAGTATTTATATCAGTGGCTCAGGGCTCTACAAAATCAAAAACGAAGATTTGATTTTGAATATTTTAATTTTCTATAAAGATTAAAGAAGTTATTACTGCAGATGTCACAGCAAAACAGTGAAAAAAAACGTCTGGATTTCATTGGTTTTCACATCTGCACCTGTTATAAGATTAGTTAGCAATCCCTTTAATGGGAGTGTTCACGGGGAAATGAAAAAAGACAAATTTATCTCAGGAATTATTTAAGATTTTAATCTTTTGGAAATTAACATATTTATTTGTAGCACAATGGCTGAGTTTACTGTGGTGATAGTTCTAGTTAGACAAGGCAAAAAAGAGTTTTCCGAGCAGGTAAGAAGTATTCATGTACAGATTACACAGATCGAATAGGAGATAACTACTAAAGTATAGATTACACAGATCGAATAGGAGATAACTACTAATGTATAGATTACACAGATAGAATAAGAGATAATTTGTCATGTAAAGAGTATACAGATAGAACCGGAGATGCCTATTCATGTACAGATTACAGAAATAGAATAAAAGATAATTTGTCATGTAAAGATTACACAGAAAGAACAAGAAATAACTATTCATGTACAAATTACACAGATAGAACAGGAGATATCTATACATGTATAGATTACACTGATAGAACAGGAGATAATATTATGTAAAGATTACACAGAAAGAACAAGAAATAACTATTCATGTACAAATTACACAGATAGAACAGGAGATAACTATTCATGTATAGATTACACAGATAGAACAGGAGATATCTATACATGTATAGATTACACAGATAGAACAGGAGATAACTATTTATGTATAGATTACACAGATAGAACAGGAGATAACTCTTCATGTAAAGATTACACAGATAGAACAGGAGATAACTGTTCATGTATAGATTACACAGATAGAACAGAAGATAACTGTTCATGTATAGATTACATAGAAAAAACAGGATATAACTATTCATGTAAAAGATTACACAGATAGATTAGAAGAGTTGCGTTTATGTAAAGATTACACAGAACAAGAGATACTCCCACGGCCCACGCATACCTGTTGGGAGAGTTTTACGTAATAGGTTATTTTGAATGTTCCTTAACATGTGAAATCTTCCTTGTCCTATCTTGTAATCTGTTGAATGTTAAGCTTGAAGATTTGATACTAAAAATATTTTATTAAGATTTGACTGGACACATCAAGTAAAATCAAATTATCAAAAATTTTAATAAAATGACATTATTATTATCATAATATATATATAATATTTAAAGGACCTCATCCTTTTTTGGCCACTTCCATATATACAATTTTTCAAAGAGACACTTACCCAAATGTGCTTTAGCATCTTTCATTTATTATTAGAGAAACTACGATTAAAATAAAATTATTTAATGTTAAAATTACCACAGTAAGGAATAAAGAATAAAACTTGTAAGTTTTCAAGATTTCTCTCTTTTGTTTAAAAACACTGAATAAATTGTAACAAACTTAAATTTTCTACTTCATATATCTTTGCGACATAATGGTTTAAATCTTTGATATTTCAAACTTAGATTACTTGATATGACATAATTCACAGTTTGAAATGTCAAAGGCCTACAACATTGGGCTGCACAGATATAGGGACTAAAAAATCAGGCAATATCTTAGTTCCTTTATCACTGACATTTTTTGAATATTTGTTTATTTAGTTCCAGATGGTGTCCAGGTTTATGCTCCCATGCTTCTTTCTTCTTGTTAATCTTCTTTACTGGCCTCTTATCATGCACAACTACCTGGACGGAGAGTAGAGGATAAACAAGGAAATAACTTTTATTTCATCCAAGGGAGCGTTCCAATCATTTCTTAACATTTCCTATTTTCTTAAAGGGATTGTTCTGAATTCGATTGTTTTTAATCATTTTCTTAAACAAAGTACTTGAGTTATTGTCACAAACTCTGATTTTCCAATCCCTATATATTTGCGACCTAATATCGTAGACCGGAGATATTTCAAGCAATGAATTCTGCGAGATCAAATAATCTAGGTTTTTTTCAGGTTGCAAAGATATAAAGATTCTAAAATTTGAATTTGTGGCAAAAACTCAATTCCTTTTCCCGATGTTTTTTATTAGGATTATTGCAACATTTTTTTAGGGAATAGTTTTAAAATTAGCTTTCTGCAGGGTATTCTTCCGATATTTTCCAAAATTAAGATTTAACCTGAAGTCTCATCAACTTAGGTTTTACCGCTCTAACTCAATTATGCTTTTCTGTATCCCTTTACATGTACATTGAAGCACTAATACGCACATGTTGTTAGCTTTGGTATTTTAAAAGTAATTGGCAAAACTCTCATCGATTTTTGCTTGAGGCCTTTAAATCACAGTAATTGTCTAAGTGGAATCTTTCCGATATTTTGCTCTGAGGGAATTGTTCTCATGTTTTCGCAAAGTATAATTCTGATATTTTCTTCATGGGATCATTTAATATTTTTCTAAATGGGGCAACTTTTATTGATAAGTTTTAACATACTTACTAAAGACATTTTTTTAAATATTGTATAATTTTGTTAGAAATGAAGTCTTCCAATTGTTTCTTTAACGAACAAATAAATCACTTCCGTATATGCGTAATACTTCTTTTTAGAAAAAAATATTTACTCCATCAAGTTTAACTAAAGATTCACTGAAATACAATGGTAATATATATTGCCAACCTCTAACCCTGGTAAATGAACTTGTAAAAAATAAATTATTTATTTTCTATTGTGTAATCTTAGTCTTGCTTTCATGTTTAATTTTGTTATGTTTTTGTGTATTTATGATACATGGACTTTCAATTCAATTCAATTTTTTTGGTTTTCTGCTATTTTTCCTAGATTTCTAGTTTTTAATAAATTTGGTATTTAATTGCTTCGAGCTTTTTATTTTAATTTTATTCTAATTTTTATTGGCTGTGATCAATAAGCAGCTAAATGAATTGAGTCGGCTACAAACTCCGATTTTTTTATCCGTATATTACTGCTTTAACCTTAACCATTTCAAACTATGAATTCTGTTAAATCCAATCATTGAAGTTTAAAATATCAAATGTTTACACCATTAGGTTGCAAAGATTTTTGTGGCACAGAATCAATTCATTTGGAGGAATGAAATGTTATGCATAAAATGTTATGTAAGATAAAGGAAATAAATGTAGGAAATAAACCAACACGGTAGTTTCTCTTATCAAATATGCTTCCTTTAAATCATTGATAAGGCAAAGTTTAAACGAATTTTGTTAAGTTTGATTTAATTCATAAAGGAATTAAAAAGTCTAAATTAATATCTATTTTTGTACCGTACATTAGTATTAGCAATTTTTGAAGAACAAAATAAACCAGTTTTTAACAAAAACCTAATAGAATTTTTTTAGAAGAAAATTTTAAATTATCATGCGAGTTTTTGCCACAAACAAATATTTTTTTATCCCTAAATGTTTGCAACCTGACGGTGTAAATCTTTGATATTTCAAACAGATTTTTTAATCCAACACAGCAAATGTCAAAGGTCTACAATATTTGGTTGCAAAGATATAGGGATTTGAAAATCAGAGTTTATGACAAGGATTAGAGTTGTTGACTCTCAACAAAATTCTCTCATCATTTTTTTAATTTTACTCGCTGCTAATTTAAGGAATAAAAAATCAAAGTGTAAAAATCCAAATTGGGTTGTTCATTGTTCATTGTTAATTGTTCATTGTTCATTTTCATTGTTCATTGCTTCATAACTTTACCGTGCTGGACCCTATAGCTTTTTCTATAAAAGGACTCGAAGTCAGTTCCTACAGAATACTCGCTGATAAACATTTTTTTAATTGATTATTATTTTTTCGATTTCAGCAAATTTAATTTCATGATATATTAGCTTAAAAATTCAGGAATTCTAGATTAAAGATGGGTGTAGGATGCTCTAAGGAAAACCAGAATCTACTAAATTAACTTCTGTTAAAACCCTGGGGTGTAAATACAGCTAAACAGTGTTACAAAAAATAATCTTTTCTTTGGAAAAATATTGTTTCATTATTCAATTTTGTTACTCATCCTGGTTCTAAAATTGATGTTAACGTTAGGCATAAGACATGACATAAGGCAAAAGACATAACAGACGGCATAAGACATAACAAATGGCATAAGACATATCAGATGGCATAAGACATAACAGATGGCATAAGACATAACAGATGGCATAAGACATAACAGATGGCATAAGACACACGACATGACATAATGTATGCGACAAGATATAAGGCTTAAGACATGACATAAGGCATATAAAATGACAAAAGACATAAGACATGACGGAAGGCATATGACATGACAGAAGACATTACATAAGGCATATAAAATGACTTAAAGCAAAAGACATAAAATAAGGCACACGACATGCCATAAAGATTAAGACATAAAATAAGTCATAAGACATGAAATAAGGCATAAGATATGAAATAAGGCATACGACATGACATAAGGCATAAGTCATGACATGACATGCACACAGGTAATAGGTCACATTAGTTTAAAAATTGTATCATTCGAACTTGTACAAGAATTGCCAGGTGCAGTTTTTACTCGTACCAGCCCGTCTAGTGTACCTAGTATGTGGTTGACCCAGCCCGTCTAGTGAACCCAGTATGTGGTTGACCCATCCCGTTTTATGGTTCGTACCCAGTTTGTGGTTGACCCAGCCCCGTCTAGTATACCCAGTATGCGGTTGACCCAGCCCGTCAATATACCCAGTATGCGGTTGACCCAGCCCGTCTAGTGTACCCAGTATGTGGTCGACCCAGTCCATTTTGTGTACCCAGTATGTAATTGACCAAGCCCGTCTAGTTTACCCAGTATGTGGTTAACCCAGCGCGTTTTATGCAACATATTTGCAGCATATATATGTTTAACCTATAGTTATAGCCAGTACTAAGAAAGAGTTGAAATTTGAAAACTGGTTTTTAGTTAAGAAAGGGAAAATGCGATGTTTACGTAGCTAAGCAGCAGGCAACAATTTGGAATTCTCAAACATCATTCTCTGTTCTCAACCCAAAAGTAAGTTACATCAGTTAGGGTTGTTAATCGTTTTTGTAAACGATCGTTAAACGATCGTTAACAATCGTTTTTTGTTTCGTTTTCAAGAACGATCGTTTCGTTTTCGGAAAAAAACGATTCGTTTTGAGCTTTTAGGAAACGAATAACGATCGTTTTCATTCAAACGATTTGCGACCGTTTTTGAAAAAATTTTCTATTGACAATTATGTTAACGATCGATAACGAAGGGTCGTCGTTAACGATCGTTAACGAAGGGTTGTAGTTAACTATCGTTAACGAAACGACGAACTTTATAAAAACGGTCGTTTTTGGAGAAAAAAATGGCATGCAACTTTATTGAATGTCGTCTTACATGAAGTTAAGCAGTTTGGGGGAGATAAAACTTCTTGATATTTTCTTAAAAACTACTAAATGATAAGTACAGATGTCCTTCAGGTCGGTTTCCTCTCTCCGTTAACGATTGTTAACGAAACGACGAATTTTATATAAACGAGCGTTTTGAAAAACGATCCTTTTAAAAACGACCATTTTTTAAAAAACGAACTTATTATAAAAACGATCGTTTTATAAACGATCGTTTCGTTTTCGATTTTTCGTCGTCCTTTTCATATCGAGACGATCGTTTTTCTGAAAAATGAAAACGTTAACATCCCTAAACAGTGTAATCCGGAAGCTTCACCTCTTCGTTTTATTACTCATATGACGGGACTTCACATGATATGACGATTTATGGACAATCAAAATTTCAAAAATTAAAACTATGCTTTCGCACATCCACATATTTTGAAATGCCATAGTTGCAGTTTTGATAAAAGTTTTTAATAATGTAGACTGAGGTTGTAGTACTGGATTATTCTGCAGTTCTCCAACATGATATTCCATTCTGGAGAGTTAAGGAGAAGAAGGGGAAAAAGGAGGGAATAGTCTGCAGTCTATACTTTGCCAAGTTAGTTTATTCACATTTGCATTATTTATTGCAGGGTTAGGGACCTTGTGGCATTCACTCCCTTATATATAGGATGGAATAGGGTTAGAGGGACATGATAAACGAGATTGTAATAGAGTGAGACCTAATTTCGAGTGATCCTCCATTTAAAGCGGAAACACGCAAGTCACTTTAGTAGAGACATCACAGCTGAGAATAATTGATTTTTAAAGAGCTAAAAATGGATATCTTATTCATTCTTGACCAGACAAAGCTTTAAAGGATAATGTTAAAAATCGGACATGCCACTTTGTCAAAGAAAATATTCACTTGAAAATACATCGTAAATACAAGAACTTTTAACTTTTAAAATCTTATACGAGGAAATTTATTTATTTAGTAAAAAAAAATATTTTATTATCATAATATTTACATTTACAGTTAAATTCATAAAGTAAATAATGTAAAAATGTCTTTTTAAACGATGATAAGGGAATTATAAAAATGATCTGATTTCATCTTAATTTGATAAACTATGAAAAAACAGATACCATGAGGCTGGTTCCAATTGAGCGCTGGCTCAAATCTCAAAACCCTAACAATGAAACCAATCAAATTCAGTAAAACCAACAATGTTTGAGCCGCGTCTCAAATTTTAGACGCGGCTCAAATTCTTAAAATTCAGCCTCAGTCTACTTTATTGCTCAGGAAGACTGATCCTCCACTTGAAAGCCAAGTCTGGTATTTTGGTAAACTATCCAGAGTGAGAGCAAACAATTTACTACTGTTAGACGGAAACCAGGTCAAAACTTACATTTACACTTTTCATATTTGTTTTAAAAAAAAAACAAATATTATTAAAGGGAGTTTTCGCGAAAAATAAAAGGGGGTATATGCTGATCCCGAATGGACTTCGATATCGATCGCTACTAATTTCACCTCTATCTGTTGCGTTTAAAAGAAGAAAACGGTTAAAAACAACTCATTTAAGAGCGTAGAGCCCATACAAATCCATTGTTGCATTATTTTACCTAGACTGTAGATATTCAATTAAAACTGATCATTCAGATATTACAAGTCGAATTTGATTCGGGACATTCCTATGTAGTTTAAATATCATAATCTTTTTATTTTTTTCATATACGATGTATTTTGGAGGAGGATTATTTTGCCGCTAGGTATCTCTGCTCTTGATATTTCAGGGATTTCACTTGGGAGAGACACCTAGCGGTAAAAAAATCGTTCTCAAAAGTACATTGAATATCAAATTGTTCTTGTTGTTGTTCGTCTCGATCATCTTCCTTTTATTTCGATGAAACATTTCACGCTCAGTTTCACCATTATTTGGGTAGGCGGGTCACCTAAAACGGCGTCAAACCTTATAGAAATCCAACGTATGAACCCGCTACGTATAGAACATGGCGTATTTTCCGGGAGAACATTTTTTTATATTTTTGAAAAATTAAACTTTTTGTAAAATATTGTACCTTATCATTATCATTATCATAATTTCTATTTTTTTAACATAACCTAGACATTAAAGGAGCAAAATAGTTTAATACGTACATGTTAGGTTTGGAAAAAATTCTTAAAAGTATAAAAAAGTTCTCCAGAAATGCTAATATGATTTTATAAAACTTCGTTTTACCATTTAAATAAAAGGATTTTATGAAAATTATATTTACTTTACACTGATAATTTAATTTTTCAAAAATATAAAAAATTTTCTCCCGGAAAATACGCCATGTTGCTATACGAAGTGGGTCCATACGTTGGATTTCTATAAGGTTTGACGCCACCTAAAACTAATATTGCCAAAATAGCCAAAATTTGAAAGTCCGTCGACACTCTTTTCTTTACACCTTGTAAGACTTTTAGACAATAATTTTGCACCAGAGCTGAATTATACATGAAAGAAAATGGCGGTCACTTTAATCACCAGTTAAAGAAAAAGAAGTGAATATAGTTATAAAACAAAACGTTCATATAAGTATAGAAATTTCATAAACTAAATGTAACTATAAAACCATATTTCTGTCCATGACTATAGATCTAGAAATTGTCAGAATTAATGGGATGGACACCCTGTAGTTTCTTTACAAAGATTTTATTCAATATTTGCGCATTACCGTTGTAACCTAGTCAGCCTTATCTGTGATTTAAAGATAATTAAAAGCTTTGTTAAATGGAGTGGAGTAATATTCAGAAATTTCTTAGGATTCATTTGATCAGACGTTTTTACGGTGCATATTTGTTCAGCAAGAGCGCAAATGTCATCTTTAAAATACTCATAGATTGCCCATTTTGGAGGGATTATTTTGAGAATCGGTTTTATTTAAATTATTCAAAGACGACCACGAAAAATGTAGCAAAAAGTTCTATAGTAAACTAATTAGTTGTTTAGGAACAGAATGAGAAAATAAAAGTTAACTATTATCATAGAAAATAAGTAATCTTATTGAGTTATTGGTTTCAGTAATATCTCAATGTCAAAAACCATTTTCTGTAGATTTACTGAAATTTTTAATGAAAAGACGGCATTTGAAGAATTTGACGAAATCTGCGAACAAATTCACAAAGCTTAAGTAAATCAATAAATTGATGGAAAAGAAACAATTGATTCTAACGTTGATTTCTATATATAAATTTGGCTTGTCTGTCTGTTTGTTTGTCTGTTTGTTTGTTTTTTTGTATCCAATAAACGTCAAAACGGCTGAACCGATCGGGCCCAAATTTTTTGTGGGACATCTCGGGACCCCAGGGAAGGTTTATGAATGATCAAAATTTCAAATATTTGTCTCCATCAAAATTCGATCTTCATTAAATTTTTGAAAATTTTGAAAATCCACGAAATTTTTTGTGAAAATCCGCGAATTATTTTTGTTTTGTTTTACGATGTACACAAAGAGAACATATGTTCACAATTAATTTAGAAGAAGGGCGCGAAGAGCCCTCTAAGGCTAGTATTAACAAATTTCTAATGAGGAACATGTTACTATAAAACATCTAATTATCAATTCACTGTAGAAATTCTGTTACATTTCTCTTCGCCTGATTATCAATGGTACCCTCTAAACCTTTGTATCATCAAAAATGGCATAGATATTCAAGGTTTTCTATCTGAAAATTGATAATTTTGTATTGTGGGTTCTTCTGAAAAGGACAAATAAATAGACAAAATTCAAACTTTTAAGCATGACGATATATATTCGGCACAACCCATGGCAAAGATTTGAAGGGTAACTATTTGAATTATCTATTCCACTCTGTAAATGGAGGCTTACTTGAAATTACGCCAATTAAGTCTCTTTAAGCATGAACTTGTTGAATAGGCCGGATCCTACTTGGTTCGATACAGTGAGAAGAAACAGTCCTATGTCCTCACTCTTCTATCTTTTGATTTGGTTGAGAACAAGAACATTATTAAACATTATAATATTGATTACTCACAGGGGGATGGATATTACCTCAGGTTATACAAATTCATTTAAAGGAAGTGTTCGCGAAAATGAAAGTGGGGTCAGGCTGAATCCAACTCAAATTCGAGTTGAATCGCTACTAATTTTTACTTTATATTGATTTGACATTCATTATTTAGAGTTCTTCTGTTATGAGGGAACTTCAATTTTAGTATTTTCACCAGAATTATGCATCTTAAATTTTTTAAAGTATCAAAAATTTACTTTTTCTTTTTCCGGGTCAGATACCTGAAAATTTTATCAGATTTCTCAGAACAAAGCCCATTTAAAGTATTAGGATGCTTCATAAATATCTTTATTTATCAGTGAAGATGATAAATTCAAAACTCTGGATCAATTAATTGTTCACTGCTCAACCAATATTCAGAAAGGAAAGTATTTTTTTTATTGACATCATAGTTTCAATTCCGTTTTGGGATTTTTCGCCTTCTTTTATTTAAGGTTTACCTGCGAAACTGATGTATATTTGTCTAATCCCAAACCCAAGTATGAACTCTGAAGCTGATATCCAAAGGGTCCCATACGAGGAACTGGAATTTTCTACGGTAATCAATGGTTCTAGTGCCTTTGTGTAGCTTGCCTGCAGAAAACAGTCGATTTTTTCTTTTTCCCGGGCGGAGGAGGGGTTCAGAGCACCCATATGAGTCCCGCAAACTGACCTCCGGAGCCTCCTGATTCGCAAAATGGCCTCCAAGCCAACTCCTAGCCAATCTAAATCGTCTCCGAGTCCAATGCTACTTAAACCAGGCAGCAGGCTCCCCAATTCTATCTTAACGTCCAGCAATCTGATTTCCAATAACAAATATTTGGCTTTTACATCCACCAAAAGCCTTTTTTTTCGGAAAATCTTAACATGGCCATTAAGCTTTTAATGGTACATTTACAATTTGTGTTAAAAAGTCTACTTTTATTGAGATTAAGACTTCTTATTTTGTTTTTCTAAATTTCACAAATTCCTAAACTTGTGCATAACTATTGCAGCGTTATATAAAGAATTAAAGAAAAATTTAATATCATTTCACAGGTGTAACAGTACAAATCTATCTAGACTATACCACCAAATTACGAAACATAATAGTGTTTGAGAAATATTAACTTAAAGGAATTGAGTTTTTGCCACAAACTCTGATTTTATAATTCCTATGTCTTTGCAACCCGATGTTTTAGACCTCAGATTTTTGAAACTAAGAATTATGGTGGATCTCATAATCTAAGTTTGAAATATTAATGGTTTACAGCATCAGGTTACAAAGATATAAAGATTAGAAAATTTGAGTTCGTGGCAAAGACTCAATTCCTTTGTACTTTAATTGTATTTCATTATGTAAAAGAGAAAAAGAGAGAAAAAATCCCGCCAATCCATAATTCTCACCATTAAAGACCAAATTACACTTTTTCTATTTGCACTTAGGAAAATGAAATTGGAAAAGGAGAATTTGGCAAAGTTTACAAAGGAACTCTCAGGTTGAATGTTAATCAAAGTTTACAAAGGAACTCTCAGGTTGAATGTTAATCAAAGTTTACAAAGGAACTCTCAGGTTGAATGTTAATCAAAGTTTACAAAGGAACTCTCAGGTTGAATGTCAATCAAAGTTTACAAAGGAACTCTCAGGTTGAATGTCAATCAAAGTTTACAAAGGAACTCTCAGGTTGAATGTTAATCAAAGTTTACAAAGGAACTCTCAGGTTGAATGTTAATCAAAGTTTACAAAGGAACTCTCAGGTTGAATGTTAATCAATAAAATATGTCAAGAACACTCTAAACACAAAATTAAAGTAGACAAAGTTTCACGTAGCCAACCATATTGAAAGTTGCATGTCCGATTCACAACGGTACCTACATCGGCTGCAGAGAATTCCTTGTTGGTATATCTAAAACATGGCCGGGTGCAATCCATGCTACGCAATTCCTAGAAAATAAAACAGGTTGCACACAAAGTTTTCAAGTTATCAGAAAAAGGTTCAAATGGTACCGGTGTAAATGGGACATACAACTATCCAAATGGGGTGTCACTTTAAATTACGTATACAATCCCTTTAAACTACAAAATTTTTCATGAATACGTTAAATTTCATCGTCATTTATACAACAAATAAAATGACTCCTAGATAGAGGCATTGTCTCGTACGTAAGTGACCGGCAATGTATGGTAGTTGAATTGAGAATGTAGTATTGTGGAGAAATATTTTTAAGAATTCTTTTGAGCCATATAAAACGTTTTAATGATGCATAATTACTGAGATTTAGCTCAAAATCATCCATTTGGTTGGTTACGTTTTGAAAAATGTTATTTTTCAAATAACGGAGACTAAACATGTATAAACAATTCTACTATAAACTAATTAGATGTTAAAGAACATATTTCTCAATAGAAAATTGTCAATTAATAAATGTTAGAATCAAATATATCTTTTTCATCGTTATATATATATGTATATATTCTTTACGAATTTGTTCGCAGATTTCTACGAATTCTTCCAATGTCGCCTTTTCAATAAAAACTCCAGAAAATCTAAAGAAAATGTTTGTGAACAATGAGAAATTACAAAAACTAATAAAATAACTAAATAAGATCACTTGGATGATAAGAGTTTATTCTAATTTTCTCAACCTATTCCAAAATAACTAATTAGTTTACTGTAGAATGTGTGTTACATTTTTTGTCGTCGTTATTTAATAATTTTAAAAAATCGTAACCACCCAAATTAATGGATTAAAAGCCTCAAGTCTCTAATCAACCCTAAAATATTTCTCCACAATACTACATTCTTTCTAAGAGAGTGTTTTATTTTGCAATTATCGTATTTTCATTTTTTTACAAAAAAACATTGATTTATATAAGGGGACTTTCTGAGGTAGCGATAAAAGAATTGAAGATTGGAAAACGACTGACTGCACGTGAAAAGGTTGGTTTCTACTAACTTATTGATGAATAAATCTGCAGATTTACTGGGGTAATGTACGTGATTACTTCTTGATTATGTCTGCTGCAGGCTTCGCCAAAGTTAGAAAAAAAATTATATCATGATTTTTTAATTTAATGCACGCTTTTCCTTTTGGTCACAATTTATTATATAATTCTGTGAAAGAATTAATTAAATTTGAGCTACGTGCTTAACTATACCTACTTTCAGTTCAAATTTGAACCACCGCGCGGTTATAGATTTAGTAAGGATTCGAATCAGCGATTCAAATTTGAACCGGCGGTCGGCAGTTTAAATTCATTAAATTCGATCACTGTTAAATCAAATAATCTAAGTTTTAAATTTTTATAATGTTGACCAATTACTTGGGAAAGATGTTTATCTTATCAATTACAAAAAATTGGGAGATCCAATGCTGCTCCTCTATTACTCATATACTCAAAGTTTTTTTTCTCCTGAAACCAGATTGACTTAACCAACGAGCTTGATAATTTAATAACAAGTAGTAATTAGCATTTATTCGTAAAACCAGACGCTTTTAATGGTCTAATTTTGCGATAAATCACCAAAGAATTTTTAAAAATTGATTTTTCATTATAAAATTAGAAATGCATAGCTTTATCTTAAACCTTTGGCCTAATCAAACTAAGGTTTGCTCACTGTAACTGCTTAAGATTGTGCTACTAAGAGAAAACTAGATTCAATTAAAAATATTTGGTATTTTTTATATGAATGATATGCGTAACAAAATCTCTATTTTAGCTGTATTTAATTAAAGACATCTGATATTCTATGATTAAACACATTCAGAAGTTTAAATTCGTATCGTTATTTTCAGACTATTTTTTGCACCTACAAATAATCAATATTTTGGATTACTGGAGTTTAAATGTTAACTTCTTGAATTCAAACCAAAACTGTTGCCAATATGACGTCATGTGCGATGGAGAGGCTGCCGGGCCGCCATGAGCCCAACAAAATTACCTCCGGAGCCTCCTGACACGCAAAGGGACATCCAAGCCCCGCAAAACCGTCTGGCCTCTACAATGCTGTCTAATTTGCTTTTACATTTACCAAAAACCTTTTTCAAACAATCTCAACATAATAAAATAGTGTTTTTCGATGAATAAACAATGAAAAAGTCATTTTCAAAATTTTTCAAAAGTCAAATTTCATAAATTCCTAAACTTGTGAATAACTATGGCAATTTTATATAAAGACCGACAAATTGCATATTGTGTTACAGGTCTTCCTGAATCATATTAGCAACACTCCACAAAACACATTAGTTTTAGTGTATGCGTTTGACACAAAACAAGTTATGATCCAATGAATGAATTAATATTTCAAATTTTTGGATTAAATAAATCTTTAAACTATTGTGAATTCTTCTATGAAGAGATATATTTCGATTTTTGGTTGGTTCAGCTATAAAAAGTAAACAAATATGAAAAAAGCGAAAGGAGATCAAAATTCGGGGCCTGGAGGTCATTCTGCGTATTAGGAGGCTCCTAAGGTCATTTCATGGGGCTCATTGCGGCTCTGCCCCCCGTACCTTCACATACAAGTACGTACGTAGCGTACAAAATAATTGGATAAAATCTTCTACTATTAGGACCATCTTTGGACTTTTGTTGATTTATTTTAGGCTGTTGTGGAGGACAATTTTAAAGAAGAACTTAAAATACAACGCAGTCTTAGGAATAAAAACAGCAAACAACTTTATTTTACTCTTCACTTAAACAGATGTGTTTAAAATGAAGATTATTTATGAAATTTTTAAGTAAAATAAATATGGACATTGTATAATAGCCTTATAATAGATGAAGACTGTTGATATGTATCAGACATCCCAACATTGTCACCCTCATTGCTTTTGTAGAAAGGTAATGAAATATCAAATATTGTATGATTAAAGGGACTGTAAGCGTAATTTCAATTGGCCTACCAAGAGGGGTAGCCCCTTTAAACCTTTTTTCTTGTTTATCTACGACTACATAAACCCGTTTAAACCTTTTTTTCTTATTTATCTATAACGACTACAGAAACCCCTTTAAACTTTTATTTTTCCTGGTTTATCATAAGACTACAGAAACCTCCTTAAACCTTTTATTTTCCTGGTTTATCTACGACTACAGAAACCCCTTTAAACCTTTTATTTTTTCTTATTTATCTACGACTACATAAACCCCTTTAAACATTTTTTTTCTTATTTATCTACGACTACAGAAACCCGTTTAAACCTTTTTTTTCTTATTTATCTACGATTACAGAAACCCCTTTAAACATTTTTTTCTTATTTATCTACGACTACAGAAACCCGTTTAAACCTGATTTATCTACGACTACAGAAACCCCTTTAAACCTTTTATTTTTCCTTGTTTATCTACGACTACAGAAACCCCTTTAAACCTTTCATTTTCCTTGTTTATCTACGACTACAGAAACCCCTTTAAACCTTTTTTCCTGGTTTATCTACGACTACAGAAAACCCTTTAAACAATTTTTTCCTTGTTTATCTACGACTACAGAAACCCCTTTAAACCTTTTATTTTTCCTTGTTTATCTACGACTACAGAAAACCCTTTAAACATTTTTTTTTCTTATTTATCTACGACTACAGAAACGCTCGTAATTGTTTAACACATATAATTAGGTTTGAGAGTTAAATTTAAGGAACACTAATATTTATGAAAACTGTGTTGAACATAGAATATTCTAGATTTTCAAGAAAAAATGTGAAATTATCTTACAGTTCTCACAGCACGCCTTTCCATACAGCTATTAAGAGATTTAATGGGTACTGTTGTGAATCCGGGATGCTCCTCTATAAATCGAAGGTCATTTGAAAATACGCCTACAAGTCCCTTTCAGTCCCTTTCATTCCCTTTCAGTCCCTTTCAGTCCTTTTCATTCCCTTTCAGCCCTTTTCAGTCCTTTTCAGTCCTTTTCAGTCCTTTTCATTCCCTTTCAGTCCCTTTCAGTCCCTTTCAGTCCTTTCAGTCCCTTTCAGTCCTTTTCATTCCCTTTCAGTCCCTTTCAGTCCTTTTTAGTCCTTTTCATTCCCTTTCAGTCCTTTTTAGGCCTTTTCATTCCCTTTCAGTCCTTTCCGTCCTTTTCATTCCCTTTCAGTCCCTTTCAGTCCTTTCAGTCCCTTTCATTCCCTTTCAGCCCCTTTCAGTTTATTTTTTTATTCAAAAATGTCAAATCTGTCTCCTTCTCTAGGCAATGCCGGCAACTAATGAACACCTTTTATAGAAATATGTTTGTTTAAACTTTGACAGATACCTTCTTTAGTCCTGAGCATGGGAACTATATGATTCAGGAGTATATGGAAAAAGGTAAGTATACTAAATGAAAGTAAGTTAGTTATGTAGTATATTAGGGCAAGGTATACATAGTGAATTTAAATTAAAGGAAATAGGAAAAATAGAAAAATAGGAAATGTTCTTACATACAGTAAGACAGGTGAAACAGTGGAATAGGAAGAAGTTCTCTGAAAAAGAGGTTTCGGAAATAAAGACCTAAATTTTGGGACTGAAAAAGACCTGTGGAATAATAGGCCTTGAAATAAAAAGTCTCTGGAAAAAAGTCCTAACATTTTGAGACTTTATTTTTTAGGACTTTTTTTCTGGTTTCAGTATGATCTTATAAAAAAACGTCCCCGGAAAAAAATGCATGGGAACAAAGGATGTCTCCACCCCATGCAAACAAAGGCCGGGGCAATTGATATTAAAAACACCCGTAGTTTTATTCAAAATACAGATGCATAGTTAAAAAGTCTTTTTATAAAAACGTCTTAGACTTGACCTCACTTTCACAAGACTTTTTTTCTTGGTTTTTTTCTTCGGATATAATTTCTTCAGGACTTTATTTCCTGTGATCTTATTTTCTGAAAAGGAAAAAGTCCCAGGATTTAAAACTCAGGACTTTATTTCCAATGACATTTTGTCCTAGGACTTCAGAAAATTTTTATTTCCATGTTTTTTCCAGAAACTTTTTTTCCAGTGACTTTCTTAAATAGATTCAGGAAGAAGATCAGTAAACTCAAGAATTTATTCTAAATAATTTAAAGAACATAAGATTTCAGTTTAGATTTCTACCAAGATGTGTAACGGATTATTTTAGATTACTCCAACAACCTTGTATAGAATCTATAGAACATAATCCAATTAGAGATCAAAAAGATGTTTAAACAATTTATCATTTTAGTTTTTATTTTTGATATCGATTGTTTTCCCCGCAATTAATCTGTATTTTCTTAGATTCTATCTTACTTAAAATGGTCAAAACTTTAAATTAATTCCATTTTTAGGGGATTTAACAAAGTACATCAGAGAAAAGTCTAAGCTAGAATCAATTAGACTAAGGTAAAAAATCATAGATAAATGAGATATTAGTTATGTACGAAAAAGTGTACAGTCCGTGAACTCACACTACTAGTGGTCAAAAATAAAGATAATGTATATATTGATGAGCTGGGAGGTAAAACCTCCTGCCTAAATTGCTTTGAGCAGACAAGTCATATATGCAGTGTGCTTGCACCTCTACAAACAATTGAAAGAAGGGACATCTACAGCAAATTGATTACTTTCTATTTTCATTTCGCCCCCCTGCTGCCATCTGTTTGAAATACGCATTTGCGTAATAGAAACATAAAGTACGCGTATTGCAAATACAGGGTGTCCCACATCAAATTAGACCGCGTCAATGGGTCTTAATTATGATTTGGGGGAAAAATCAGAAAATTTAAGAAGAATAAATCATTTTAAAAATTTAATAAGACTAATAGAAACTTTTGTTGGCAGAAAATGCTAGATTTTTCGCGTATTATTTGCGTATTTTGGCGTTAAAAATCGTTGATAATCTAATATGATATGGGACGCTCTGTATATGCTATCTGAGTCTGGTTTTAAGTGACTTTAACCATGTTGTATGCTAGGTAGTAATTAAAGACTCTTCCTTTGTGGTCCTGGTCACCCCCCCCCCTGAGATTTTGAGGCAAAAAATTTTCCCAATTTGATCAATCGTTTGTGTATCCCTTTTTCGAGTTATTTGATTATTTACAGGAATGATATTAGATATTTATTGAAGCATTAGTACGACGAAAAAAAATATTTTTCTAGCTTGGTAAAAATAAATATATTTTAATTCATTTGTAAATGATAGAGAAAAACATTTGTTATATACAAAAAAGCAAGTGAAAAATACCAATAATATACTGCCTCAGTCTAAACTTGAAATTTAAACTATGGAAACGAAAATCAACTAAACTGTAACATTGTTTAATAAAGGAGTCTTGTAGCCTGGTGTTATGAGATAGCACTTGGGATGAAATACCTATCTAGTCAAAACATTATACATAGAGATTTGGCAGGAAGGTAATCTATATATATTTACTCCTTAAAGGGAGTTTTCGCGAAAAATGAAAGTGGGTTTAGGCTTACGGCGAAAAACAATCACTGTTGATCGCTACTAATCTTACTTCTATCTGTTGCGTCTATAAGGAGAAAATTGTTAAAAGCGACTTAAACTGAAGAACGTAGCGACCATACAAATTTATTTCAATATACGACTCGTATCGTAAAATAATTAATCTAATTTCAAACAAATCATTCAGATATTACTACCTAAAGTCATCAATTATTTTTCGACTCATTCGTATATAGTTAATATTTCATAATATTTGTATTTGTTTTATATACAATGCACCTAAAACAACGTTTTTCCTCAAGGGGTCTCATGCCACGTGTAATCATTCAAAGCATCGAGAGCAGAGACATATGGCGGCCAACGGCGTTTTTAGTGCATTGTATACAAAACGAATGAAACATATAATGAAATATTAGCTATATACGACTGCGTCGAAAAATAATTAATGACTACGGTTGTAATATCTGAATGATTTGTTTGAAATTAAATTGATTGTTTTACGATCAAAGTCGTATATTGCAACTTTCTGAATGTGTATGGACGCTACGTTCTTCACTATAAGTCGTTTTTAACAATTTTCTCCTTATAGACGCAACAGATAGAAGTAAGATTATTAGCGATCAAAAGCAATTATTTTTCGCTGCAAGCCTATACCCCCTTTATTTTTGCGAACACTCCCTTTTAATAAGAGTGAGCCAAGTGTTAAGAAAGGTTTGTGAAATTGAATGCACAATAATATGGAATACAAATTTGAATTTACAGACCAATTATATATATCTCTAAATACAGCCTGCATATACAGCCTTTTATACAGGCTGTCACATCAAACATGACTGTAGAAAGACAACTTAAAGGTTGTTTGTGATATTTTATTTTTTCGTCAACCATTTTTTACAAGAATAATTCTTGAAACATTAATCACAAAATTCTCCTAGTCCTGACAATTTTAAAATATGGATACCGTTTTTTTTCTGTCAATATTAAGGGTGTTGTTTAAAGCAGACCATCTTTTTGAAATGCTAGAACTTTTTAGCTAAAAATTTCATTTCTAAAATTATTTTTTTGAAAATTAAATGCCGCAAGTTGTTTCAGAGATTAAAGACGACCTTTAAGTGGTTTTGCTTCTATCTTGTTTCGTGAGACACCCAGTAGTTTCTGAGGGATATCAGGATCTTGTTTTTTTGTATAGTCCTCTATTGAGACAATAGCACGTAATTTTTACTTTATTTTCTCATCAAAAATAGTAAAGTGAATTGTCTTGCGGAAAGGTAGAACCAATAGATGTTGTGAAAAGTGAAAAACTGCTATATTATTGGTCTGAAATATATTCTAACTTGTTCTACATATAATACAGAGATTAATCTTTCAAATCTCCCAAAATGCTAAAATCTAAATTCAGGAAGAAAGCCTAAATATAGATTTAGTTTGGTTTAGGTAAAAACAGTCATTCAGGCAGTATGCTTAAAGACTCAGGCAGTAGGTATAGAGGCTCAGCGCTTAAAGGGACGTTAGGAAAAATGTAAAAAGCCTCAGACCAATATTCATTAAATTATGTAAAATAAAACGCTATTGTAGGAATAGGGTATAATACATTAATCGCAAAATAATTCATTTCTAAATTTTACTTTATTCAGAAATGTGTTGGTGGACAAGTATGAAAGGAAAGATGATCTAAATTCTTTGATTCTTCAATCCAAATAGATTTTTAATTACACACATAATAGATAAAAAAAATAAAAAATATTATAAAATATCAACTATTTACGAATGAATCAAATTGCATTCGACACTTATAGGCTATAATATCTGAATGATTAATTATAATTTTAATTGAATAATTTACGATCTAAGTTGAATAATGCAATTCTGAGAATTTGTATATGGACGCTAAGCTCTTAGGTTTAAGACGATTTTAACCATTTTCTCCATATATAGAAGCAACAGATAATGATAAATTTAGTAGCGATCGATATAGAGTTCGGTTCGATTTCAGCATATTTTTCGCGAACACTCCCTTTAAGTAAAATCAATATTCAACCCTTATTGTCAAGAATTTAGAAGATCTCTTTAAAAAGGGCAAAAGTAGCAGATTTTGGACTTGCTAGAGATCAACAGGACGATCAGGTATATTGAGGAACAGTGTTAGGGAACAAATAGTGGAAGAAAGATTAAAGTTTGTGTGTTGTGAATTTAAATAGTTCATGAATATAATTGAACAAGTATCTACAAGTGTTAGGGAACAAATAGTGTAAACAAGATTAAAGTTTGTGTGTTGTGAATTTAAATAGTTCATAAATATAATTGAACAAGTATCTACAAGTGTTAGGGAACAAATAGAGTAAACAAGATTAAAGTTTGTGTGTTGTGAATTTAAATAGTTCATGGATATAAAATACTTTAAACAACAAATTATAGTTGGGGGCTAAAGGCACCCCTCAGACTTAAATTTTCTAGTTCATTTATCTGCGAAACCAGATGTTGCCGACCTTTGATATTTCAAACCATCAATTCTAACCGATCAATTCAACATCAAAGTTATAAATCATCAGGTTGCCTTGATGTAAGGGTTAGAAAATTAGAGTATGATGCAAGTGATCAGTCCAAATGTGTTCGTTCATTTTCATTTCTATCCGATGTTTTGTAAGAAAGAAAATGGAATTGAGCCAATACATTGCTACAATATATTATCCCAATATCTTTTCCAACCAAACTCTACCATACTATTTTATGTAACCAATATATTGCCAGTGGAAACTTTTTCTTTTCTTTTTCCTTAAATAATTGATTTTAAAAATCCCGTCCATATAGAGGAGGGAAGAGAAAATTCCAATCAGATGGTCGCCACCAGAAGTTTTTAACAAGAGAGAATACAGGTGATTTTTTAAATTTACAATTCACAAGATTCGAAAGAAATCGGCCGGCAGATTAATGTTGATTTCAGGCACGCTTTTCAGGGACAATGCACAATTCAGAACGGCACCCCAAAACCCTTTGACAACGTATTCTCATTAATCTACAAAAATAATCATTGTTTGCAAGATTTAAGTTTTATACTTATTAATATTCACTTTCTAGAATTAACGAAAAATATATATTCTTTTCGAATTCTTGGAAACCGCTTTTAATGTCAAATATTTGGTATTATCAATTGACACAAGTACTGGATCAGCTGTTGTGAGTTTACGCTGTGCGCAGCGTACACTGCATTTTACAGGAAGCTGTTTTTAAGAGGGTGCCGTTGTAAATCGGACATTGCCCACTTAGCATTGGGGTGCACTGGAAATTACACATACAGTCCCTTTAATAAAAGAATCACTAAACGTCAAGAATTGCAGTGATAAAAGTGATGTGTGGTCGTATGGTGTCACCCTCTGGGAGATATTCTCTTATGGCGCTAAACCATATGATAAGCTAAACAAGGAGAAATACAAAGATCACATTATTTCTGGTCGAAGGTATCTTTTCAGTTAAATATATATCTATATATAAATTTGGCTTGTCTGTCTGTTTGTTTGTTTGTATCCAATAAACGTCAAAACGGCTGAACCGATCGGGCCCAAATTTTTTGTGGGACATCTAGGGACCCCAGGGAAGGTTTATGAATGATTGAAATTTTAAATATTTGTCTCAATCAAAATTCGATCTTCATTCAATTTTTTAAAATTTTGAAAATCCACGAAATTTTTTGTGAAAATCCGCGAATTATTTTTGTTTTGTTTTACGATGTACAGAAAGAGAACATTGTTCACAATTAATTTAGAAGATGGGCGCGAAGTAGTAGTATTTTAAAATTTAAATAAATATATCGTTTACATAGATTAGAATTTCCTTATGAAAAACATACACAAAACTCTACAAGAGTTCTCAAGCCATATGATGATTTGATGAAGGTAATATTTTATTATTTATACAACTAAGATTGTTTTGAAACAAAAACTTCCAAATTGTAATTCAGCAAAAAAAAGTACCAAAAATATATATTCAATGCCAACATATAAAATTTAACCACTAAAAAATCAATCTTTTTGATTTCTTCAGGGAACACATTTTTTAATAAATAAAATTTTATTTTTCGCACAAAGCTGAATATTTGTGTGGATTTTTACTGTCTCCAAAACAGATGATTTTTTTCCTGATTAAAAGTTTTCAAAGTGAAAAGATGCGTTTTCAGTATTGATTATTAAATATTACATTATACTAGCAGCAGTAATTCACATTGCCCATTTATTTGAGATCTGCTGGAAGAAGAACCCAATGGATAGACCAAACTTCAAGGATATTGTAAAGAAGACGAAGGTTGAAATGAATGATTACAATAATGATTATTATGATTTAGGAGAATAAAATTTGTGTTTTTATCAAGAGAGAGATATTTTTCGAACCATACAGGAAATTAAGAGGATTTTTTTACTAGCATTTACTGAATGATTAAAATTAATTTTAATTTTAAAATCAACAGAAAATCCGTTAAAGTTAGTAGACCAAAGTAATATTGATGCCCAATGGAAGTTGAAAGGAGTTGCAACCCTAACCTTTTTTAATAAGAGGGGGGGGGGGACGGTGGCTTTTCTTTCTAAAACCTATTTTGAGAAGAATAATCAGTCTGGAATTTCTCTTATGCAACCAAATCAAACTATTTATTTCTAATTAAGCGGCTACAGGTTGGGGGCTAGTATTGATAGGGCAAAACTGTTGAGCACCCTACCCCAAGAATAATTTGCCTAAATATGCCTGATTTCCAGTAAAAAGAATTCAAATGAACTGAATATTCTGGAAGTAGAGATTGCTGTGATCTCTCTATCTAATATGATTATGCGCCCAATGATCGCCGGTCCATCGATCGTACATAACGTTCGGCCAGTATGCCAGGTTAAACAACAGGAAACAGCAAGGTAGGAACAGACGGGTCAACCTCTGTACCTGTACATACATTACAAATACATGTATTATATGTTTTCCCAATAAATAAATCAAATAAAGACGACCTATTGTACAACACTAATTTTCTGAAAAGTATTAAAATTTTAATTGTTTTTTTGGTGAGACACTTAGTATTTGCTTAGTAATATATTTAGATTGTTTTTTGTGACATTTTTCTGGCTCATGCAAAAAAAAAAATGCAATGGACGAAGATTATATCAATACAATAAAGACAAATTTTTATTGATTATGCTTTGATCCGGCCCGACAAGCAGTTAAAGGATTAAAGGATTGATAAAAATCAAAATTGAAATAGAATGTCGTCTTCACTGCTTTGGTATATTCAACAACGAAGACTGTAGTAAACCTGAATAAAAGAATTCATTCAAACTTAGATCATATCAAATAGATTCTAGTACAATAGATGGCAACGTAGAATTTGTAAACTCTCAGGACTGACGTCACAAGTAAAATTCAGTTTTTGTGTCCGACAAAATATTTAATAAAAGTTATAATTTTAGAATAAAGTAAAATAGGTGCAATTTTTTGTGTTCTTTATTTTCTGTTTTTACACATATTTATTTAATCTTGGAACACATGTCAACTAATGTGGGAAAATTTGTTAAATTAGACACTTGTTACGTTGTGTATGATTGGTCCATAGTTGCCACCTTTTGTACTTGATAATCTACTTGGATCTTATACAAACTTATTTACCTTAATTGCTAGTTTAACCCGCTTATGACGGAAAAGGATGACAATCGTTATAAACTCCACCATTGTACTAAAAATAGTAAAGTTATACACTTGTCCTAACAATTGTTTATTACAGGGTGTCCCAAATGAGCATGAGAATTAAGTAACAAGTAGTAGTATTCCTAGATAATATCCAAAATAACAAGTCTCTAGAATTCTAAAATGTGGTTAGACCGTTTTTACACCTATATAATCCGTATTGAGAAGTCATCTCCTAATTTTTATGTTTATTGGCACACCCTGTGTAAGTTCAGAGGATTTATTAAATGTTCACCTAATTGGAAAATACACAAGTTGTAAGTTGTATATATAATATACTAAATACATTATATATATATATATATATACAGGGTGAGTAAAAAAGTGTGATTTGCGGCGCCTGGTGCAAAAGTGTAACTTTTTTTTGCAACTCTTCTGTATGGTGTTTTTTAAAATATTTTTTGAAAATTTGTATTTTTTTGGTACTTCAATGGCAAATAAAAAAAATCCGCGAACCTTTTTTTCTTTCAAAATCAAAAGTTCAAAAAAACAAAAATGTGTAAATAAATTGTTTCTATCGAAATCTAAAATTTTAAAAAGAATCACAGAATCTGAGAAAATTTGCAAAATTGTAATTTAAAAAATTCGCAATTTTCAGTTCTGGTATAATTTTTACAGAAAAATTGTTTTTCAATGGTTCTGAAGGTTTTAACTGAACAGCGTATATTTAATACTTTAGAATATACTAAGAAGAAAGGAACTAGAGAATTTAAATAAATTTTCCTTAAAAATTAGCCCAGAACTGAAAATTGCGAATTTTCTTATTACAATTTTGCCAATTGTCTCAGATTCTGTGATTCAATCTTTTTAAAATTTTAGATCTAGAGAGAAATAATATGAATGCACATATTTGCTTTTCTGAACTTTTGATTTTGAGAGAAAAAAAAGATTCGCAGATTTTCTTTTGGGCCATTGGTGTACCAAAAAAAAATTACAAATTTTCAAAAAATATTGAAAAGACACCATACAGGAGAGTTGCACAAAAAAGGTACAATTTTGCACCAGGCGCCGCAAGTCACACTTTTTTTGACTCACCCTGTATATATATAAATATATATGCTGTACATTATTATATGCTTGTTTGTCTGTATTTCCTATCATAGCTCATCAACCACTGACCGCTTTGCCTCAATTTTTTATTGGAAACCACGCGAATGTTCTAAGCTTGGTTTGAAAATTCTAAATTGAGTGATTTGACTAGTATATGAAAATTTTGTTTCCAGGTAAAGCTGGGTTCCCAAGTCTGTCTACTAAACTGTATACTCATTAGAAGTACAGGACTGGGTATTAAGATGCGTGCATGAAGTTGTACAGTAAGCGTGTAGACTGCTAAAACAGGACGGTACACCAAACTGTACTTTATAGACAAGAGATAAGTTAACGTCCTAATCCCTTGTGTGTAATAGATTTGTAGAAGACCTGAGATACAGAGAGAACAGGAGATAAGTTAACGACCTAATTCCTGGTGTGTAATAGATTTATAGAAGACCTGAGATACAGAGAGATCAGGAAACAATCAAACCCAACCTATATCAAATTCATTACATTCGTATCAATCCCTAAAATTTGTATCCTGATGAGATAAACAATCAAACCCAACATATATCAAATTCATTACATTCGTATCAATCCCTAACATTTGTATCCTGATGAGATAAACAATCAAACCCAACCTATATCAAATTCATTACATTCGTATCAATCCCTAAAACTTGTATCCAGATGAGATAAACAATCAAACCCAACCTATATCAAATTCATAACATATCTCATCTGGATACAAATGTTAGGGATTGATACGAATGTTATGAATTTCATATAGGTTGGGTTTGATTGTTTATCTCATCTGGATACAAATGTTAAAGATGGATACGAATGTTATGAATTTGAGATAGGTTGGGTTTCATTGTTTATCTCATCTGGATACAAATGTTAAAGATGGATACGAATGTTATTGTATCAGATTCATAATAACCATCCTTAACCCGTACTATCTATAGAAACAATCTGTCAGGGCAAGCTGTCATAGAGAGAGAGAATTAAAGAAATATTATCCGGTATTCGCGCATTCTTAGGAGTTTTATCTATCCCCCCCTCGGGCAACCTACGCTCCACGCCGCACAAATATGTGAAGTACACCTGCAGTATGGAAACAGTACAACAAAATGGCCGTTTTACACTTTTTTCTAGTTAATTCCTCTCTATATATTCTACTCTCTATGAATATAACACAACATCAAAATTTACTCATAGTCATTTAATAGTTGTTTAAGTCTAATTAAAACAGTATGATTTATTAATTATAGAGTCCCATAGAAATGAAATGGTAATCTCCTGTACACTTTCAGACTTTTAGCCCCCCCCTCCTTGACCTGTGTGCTATGTTTTATGAGTCTGTTTTTTTTTGAGGCATTTCCGTGGTGAGGCGTTTCCATATATTTTTTAAATGAATAAGAAATAAGATCATATCATTTTCATATTGCAAAGTCAAAGTAATAAATGATTACTTGACTCTTTAAGTTAAGCAGTACTCCCTTAAAAGCTTAAATACACTTGTTAAAAAGGTTAGCCTTTATAGTGTGCATTGACAATGTAATAAAAACAACCATATACCACTGTAAAACCCAACCAAACATTGTTTAAAAAATCATTAAAAATAACAAATTTTTATTCTGGCTATTGTTTATGTCAAAAAAATTATTAGTACTTTTTAAAAAGTTTGAAGTGAAGTACAGGGTCCAAATTAGAGAAAAACTTTAATAGATAGTGGGCCCTGGAGTAAGCAGAAATAAGATACTGTAGCTAAAATCTTGTGATCATAGCATTTTCTTCAAAGAATTCGTAGCATCAAAGGCGTCTTGCTTTCAGAATTCCAAAATGTGGTCTGCCGTTTTTGTACCTTAAGAATTGACCAAGATATTGAGAAATTTGTTTAAAATTCAAAATATTAAACATAAGCAAGATTGTTTAAATCTTTAGTATCTCCAACAATTTTTTTTTATATACAAAGAAGGCTAAATCTTTTTCTGTACTCCTTTGACATCTAATAACTTTACGAAAACCAAAGACAAATTGTAAGTTCCAGGGTCCAATGTCTAACGTACTGCATAACACCCCAGCGAAAAAAAATACATCAAATCTTGACTATGATATATTCATTTTGATATATATATTCCGCGGCACTTGGTACTTGTTTCCCAGTGGCCGCCCGCGCGAGCATAATTCTTCGGAGCTATCAGCAGGATCATAATAGATAGATGATTACCCTATACCGGTACCAGGTGTTTTAAAAGTATTTAAAGTAAGATATAATGTGGTTTATTTTCTGTTTTTATACGTAGATCACTTTACATCATATCTTGTTTGAATCTCAATCAATAAGAACTGGAAAGATATTAAATAAAAAAATTATTTACCTAAATACGAAAAACATACAGAAAAGCATCCAAACATCTAGATATGTTACATAGGACACCTTGGGTACATGCGCTCTTCAGATAATATTGTAACAGTTTTATTTTTTTCATCAATTAAATATTTCAATATTCTTTTAGTTCATATTTTGTATATGTATACTTTGCTTGTCTGGGTGTCTGTTTGTTTTTAACCAATAAACGTCCAAACGGCTGAACCGATCTGGCCCAAATTTTGTCTCTAGTATTTTTAAAATTATACTTTTTTTATCCAATTATAATTAATTTATTTACCTTGTTAATATCATTATTTCATTTATTATCATTATTTTATATTCTTCATTATAATTATATGAATGAAATTGTGTTTCTAAAATTATTGTGATTTTTTATCAATAATTATTATTACAAATTTCCCTAGTGCTGCTAAACATAGCAGTTTGTGTGAGCACTCAGAGTTGTAGTTCCCATCCCAACCCTGCCAGGTATTGAGTCAGGATTTATGAACAGTCCCATCCATCCCAGAACCTAGTTAGGGAAATCATTCAACAAAAAAACATTGAGAATTTCGAGACAGCATTAAGATCGTCTTTGACTTATGAAATATCAAATAATTTGTATCAGAGAAATGTCACATGTCCTGCAGAGCTTTCCAAAATTGGATTTTATATATGTATATACTTTTCTTGTCTGTTAGTCTGTTTTTTTTATCCTATAAACGTTAAAACTGCTAAACCAATCAGGCCCAAATTTTGTGTGGGACCTAACATGGCCCCATGCTCAGAATTACAAAAAGTTGTCTCCAAAAATTTTGATTTTCGCAAAATTTTAAAAATTCACAAAAAAATTGTAAATCCGCAAAATAATAATATTGATTTATCTAAGAGAAATTTTAAAGTTGAACTCGAAGATGGGTGCGAAGTGTCCTGATAGCCTAGTCTTTACATATAGTTACAATATACATACTAGCAAGTTAAAGAAAGCAATTAACTGAAATAAAAAACAACGGAAAAAATGAAAAATAAACTTAGTTTTAAGAGGGGGTTGGGCTCGGGCTCTACTCACCAGAAACAGGGTAGAGGGTATATAGGTCTGGACAATATGATATCCTATCTACTCACCAGAAACAGAGTAGAGGGTATATAGGTCTGAACAATATGGTATCCTATCTCTCTTGTTAGATGTAACTATAGACAAATAGAAAAATAAATATTATTTTTTAAATGAGTTTTTGCCACAAGCTCAATTTTTCTGATTCCTATATCTTTGCAACCTGGTGGTGTAAGCCTTTGATATTTCAAAATTAGATTATTTGATCTCATTGAATTTTAGTCTAAGAAATCAAAGACATTGGGCCCCAAAGATATAGCGATCAGAAAAAAGAGTTTGCGGCAAAAACTCGGTTTCTTTTAAGCTTTTTTATTTTAATTTGTTATTCCATACTTTATAGCAATAAGAAAAGAAAAACAAAACAATAGTCTCCTATCCTTTTCCATTGTTTAACCATTCAATCAAGCAAGATTTTAGTTAAAAATAAAGAAAGTGACGACTTTCTTAAAAGAGATTTTTAGCAAATTTTTGTTTTTAATGGCATTTTGTTTTCTTCAAGACATATATAAATTCTTTTTTTAAGGATTGTTAATTTATAATAATTCGACCAGGGGTGTGCACAGGAATCTGAGCCTCTGGATCCACATATAAGAAGTGCAATTGCACTAAAATCCCAGCCAGTGTACCTGTAATTTCAGACCTGGGTAGCTGATATCATAGTAATCCGTAGAATAGGAATCCATTGCATGTATTCTACATAAATATATTAAATGTATTCTACATAAACTTATTAAATGTATTCTACATAAATGTATTTAAATGTATTGTACATAAATATATTAAATGTATTCTACATAAACATATTAAATGTATTCTACATAAATGTATTTAAATGTATTGTACATAAAAATATTAAATGTATACTATATTAATGTATTAAATTTTTTTCTACATAAATATATAAAATGTATTCCACATGAATTTATTTAAATGTATAAAGTTGATATTTCAAAATATTTTTTACTCTTTTTATATACAATATGCTTTAAATGACGATGCTTCTGGGGTTCCACGTGGAATAGACTCCAACGACACCTAGCGACAAAAAATCGTTGTTTAAAGTACATCGTATATGAAACAAGTGTACAACATATTATTAAATATCAACTATATACGAATGCGTCGAAAAATTATCGATGATGATAGGTTGTAATATCTGAATGATTTGTTTGAAATTAAATTGATTTTTACGATCCGAGTCGAATATTGCAACTTTCTGAATTTGTGTGGACTCTACGTTCTTCGGTATGAGTCGTTTTTAACAATTTTCTCCTTAAAGACGCAACAGATAGAAGTAAGCTTAGTAGCGATCACCATCGATAATTTTTTGCCGCAAGCCTATGCCCCCATTTATTTCTCGCAAACACCTCCTTTAAGTTAAACATATACCCAATCTGCTAATAAAGAATCCATGCCATGAAGACAAACTGTGATAGATAGATATTTTTGTTAACATTGATACTGTCAGGAATCCAGGCAAAGTGAATCTAAAAACACAAATTTAGTTCAAAATAATCCTAAAAGATCCTAACTTGACCTGATTTGACTGGAGACCAAAGGATTCAAACTTTAGCTCACAGGACTGATCATCAGCTGGGTAGTTTCTAAAGTTCATGTTACACGCAACATCAAAATTTATCCTGAAAATTTAAATCAAATGAAAAATGTTTTTACAAAAAATACAAATTACATACCCTTTAAAGAAATATGGATGAATTTAATAAAATATTAATGAACGTTATTACACCATAATCAGATTATGTGTTGATTGTAAGATACCATTAATTTTTTAATCCCTTTATCTTAAAAACGGGTCTAAAAGTTTGCTTTATTTCGTTATAGAGAAGATATTACCTTGCTTAACAACAAAACATCACTTGCTCATTCATATCATATTTACCTCGCAGAATATCTTATATACCTCGCAAAATATCATATTTACCTCGCAGAATATCTTATTTACCTCGCAGAATATCTTATTTACCTTGCAGAATATCTTATTTACCTCGCAGAATATCATATTTACCTTGCAGAATATCTGATAGTGTTGTCGTTATACACTCTGAGTACATATGAACATGCACAAGCTATTGAAACTAGAAAAACGACGTTATCTTCCACATTTTTGATCAGATGAAGGTTATTACTGTTGTGAATCGGACGGTCCCTCATTCAAAGGAATGATCTCTTTAATCCAATTATTCTGCCCACGGGCCTGAGAAATCTTTGAGAGTGCTATGAAATATATTTTTGGTTTCTATTATATTTGAGATATTTTTTAAATATTTGCAAAAAATGAAATGGGGTTTAGGCTGATGCTAACAGTATTACTTCTACCTGATGCGTCTAATGATATGGTTAAACAGGACCCATATAAATCCACTGGGTTGCATTATTTTACCAAAATTGCAGATAATTCAATTAAATTTGAAACAAATCATTCAGATGTTAAAGTTATCTATGTCGAATTCAATTCGATGCATTCCTATGTTGTTTAAATATCATAATCTTTTAAAATTTCTGTATATAAAATGTATTTTGGAGAACCATTATTTAGCCGCTAGGTGTCACTGCTCTCCACATTTCTGTGATTGCACTTGGGGGAGAAACATAGCGGCCGAAAAATCGCCCCCAAATGAAAATGAAAATCGTATATAAAATAGAAATAAAAGATTATGATATTTAAACAACATAATGCATCGAATTGAATCCGACATTTATAACTTCTAACATCTGAATGATTAGTTTAAATCTAATTAAATTATCTATGGTTTGGTTTGGTTTGGTTTGGGTAAAATCATGCAATTCAGTGGATTTGTATGTGTCAAGATTTTTAGACAATTTTTATTGTGTTGGTAAACCTTGAATTCTGTACATGCATTCCTTAACGAGGATAAAATCCTGTACATGCATTCCTTAACGAGGATGGTTTAGTGAAGAATGTCGGAGTACGAAGAGTTTTGGCATGATCTGCAGTACGTTACGATATGTTAATCATGGAATTAAATAATAACAACATCAATAATATAATAACTAAAAACAAACAAAATAACAAAACAAAAATAATTTTTCAAAATGACAAGATTAATATTAACAATAACATTCTAAAAGTAAAGAAAAAATATGACATATACGGAGATTAAAATAATTCAGAACTACGTCAATTAAAATAATTCAGAACTACGGCAATTAAAATAATTTAGAACTACGGGCATTTTAACCAATTAAGAACTACGGCGATCAAAATAATTTTAAAAAAAAGAAGAGAAGAAGATGTCAACAATAACAAAATCAAGCAGGCAACCATAACAGTCCTTTTAAACATGATAAAATATAAAAATCTAAAACAACAAAAAACATTATAAAATATAATTGTACCTAGGAATATATCTGGCATCCATATTCTATCTGCCAAGGAAGGATGAAGATTGGTATAATTCCCTCGGCTGTCAAAACTTTGCAGGTATTCTCTCTAGACACGGTTTTCAGGATTTTTTCAAGAAATATGCTTCATGACAATAAGAAAAGTAGTTGAACTACGTTTATTACATTGAATCACTTCTCTTCCCCTTGACGAGATACATTCAAGTTCAAATACTTCTCTCTATATTCAGTAAATCTGGTCTCAGTTCAACTAACTTAAAATTTTCATTATTTTTGAATGAGCTTTTTTTGGCTTAGCAATATGCAACGTTCCTAATCTGCTGATGAATATACTTACTTTGAAAAAGATGAATTTCTAACCTTTGGTTTTATTCTTGGGTCTTTCCAAAATAATCTAGAATAACCATGATATAATGATATTAAAAAAATTTCATTGGAAATAATCGAATTCTTAATAAAAATTTTTGTTTTGTTATTAAAGTATTACTACAGTTTAGCAATGCCACAGTACTTGTATTTTTTTATTAGATTGGTACTTCAGGTCTTTTTTTGCTGAAAGTATACGCATTTATGTCAATAATTCAATCTATTTATCTACCTTAATGTTGTTTCTAAAGATACCAGCTGATTCCTCTCGTCAACCTCCAAAATATTTCTAAACAAAAGAATATAAATAATATTTCCTATTTGGGTTCATCATATAATTGATGTTTTCTTCTCCTTCACATACGTCCTTATAGTCCCTTTTTTGCTATTTGTCCTCTATCTTATCTTTTCTCCTTTCTCCACTATTCTCTCTGTTGTTTGTCATCTATATCCTCTATTCTGTCTTTTTTATTCCTAGCTTTAGGCATACAACTATATCCTCCGCTTTTGTCTAATTTCATCGCTTAACCTGACATTAATAGATGCCGACACTAGTAGAGGCTGCCTATCCTTTGTCCTCCAGTTTTGTCTAATTTCATCGATTAACCTAACATTATAGATGACGACACTAGTGGAGGCTGTCTATCCTTTGTCCTCCAGTTTTGTCTAATTTCATTGATTAACCTGACATCAATAGATGCCGACACTAGTAGAGGCTGTCTATCCTTTGTCCTCCAGTTTTGTCTAATTTCATTGATTAACCTGACATCAATAGATGCCGACACTAGTAGAGGCTGTCTATCCTTTGTCCTCTGGTTTTGTCTAATTTCATTGATTAACCTGACATTGATAGATGCGGACACTAATAGAGGTTGTCTATCCTTTGTCCTCGGTATTTCATGAAGGTTATAATCATCGTCAACTATCAACTAAACACATGATCTTCATCAACCATCAACTAATCATATATATATATGTACATACTAGTTTGGGAACCCAGCGTTGCCCTGGTTTCTCACAGTTACTTCCGTCGTTTACCCGCACTTGGTTGATTTTACCGGGAAACAAAAATTTTTAAATAATAGTCGTCCCACTAAACTCAAATCCAACTAAAAACATTTCCGGAGCTCTCCTGAGTTCCCCAATAAAAATGAGAGGCAAATCGGTCCAGGAGTTCCTGAGTTATGATCGGAAAAACAAACACCCAAACAGAAAAACAGAGATTAAACCTATATTTATCGTCCATCATCAACTAAATATATAAAAATCATAACTTTTTAAAAACGACATTTTTTCAAAATGTCTCTACAACCTTATATGTTTGGCCTATTCCCCTGGAGGAGTCAACAACAAACAACAGCATCAAGAGCTCCAACCTCAACAACATCCAGAGTGACCATCTCAAAAACATTCTACTATAAAAATCATAAACCATCATAAAAGGAATTCAGTTTTTGCCGCAAACTAAAATTTGTACAAATTGATCGTGGTGTAAACCTTGTATATTTCAAACTTTGAATATTTGATCTGACAGAATTCACAGTTTAAAAAAAAATGTTTGTTCCTAATTATTAAATTTTTTGTTCCTAAAAAATCTTGCCCCCCCCCTCACTTAAATCCTGTATCCGCCCCTATCTAAGGTCTACGATATCAGGTTGCAGAAATCTAGTGATTAATCGGAGTTTGTTAAAAACTCAATTTCTTTTAACAAAAATTTGAATTCCTGTAAAACATAGAAATATGTCAATAATAAAAAGCGAGGAGTTTGATCTGCTGCAATCGTTTACACTTTCAATCACTCCTAAAGTCAAGATCCAACTAAACTATGAAAAATATTGCTTATAGCCACCCCCCACCCCTCTTCCCTCCGCCCTCTATCATCCAGTTCATGTCAGTTTTAGGTGTATACATTATACATGGTGTCCTTTTAATATTGCCAATTTTCAAATTGCTGTAACTTTGTTATTGTTTGAAATTTTTCCAATCTGTAAAAAAAGTAAGTAATCAAAATATGAACGTTCCGTTGTATAAAATGAAAATTCACAATTCTAATCCAAAAAAATGAGCAAATTCAGTTATAGTTATCTTGTCTTCTTTAGACAACACCATATTGGATTATAGGTCAAATGAAATAACTAAATTGGAATTTGATTACTCAATTATTTTTTAAGATTGGACCAAGCAATAACAAAGTTACAGCAATTTGAAAATTAGCAAGTTTAATAGGACACCCTGTACACTACTTTAATTCATAGGTTTAAGCATAATACTTCAAGTTCAAGCACCTTATACAACACGTTGGTTAAAGGAGAAACAAACAAAATTTGAATAGTTGTATTTAGTATATTTAACTCAGGTCACTTAGTGGTTTCCACTTTTTACTCTTTCTGATATCAAATAAAAAGACGAAGTAATACCAAAATTTTTAAAAAATGTCAAATGATTAAAACAAAGTTTCACTAGAATTCTTAGTTATTAGATCTGCGTGAACAATGCGTATATTTCACCTGACGCAGGTATATTCTGATCTAAACTAATTGTTTTATGGACACGCACACCCATACGCTCATTTACCTCGATAAGTTAGTATTCATGAACCAGGAATACAATTGAAAGTATGATGTAAAGTTGTAGAAAAAATTCCATACTGCAGAATAAGGACGATAATTGATTTGAGACTTTTTTAGAAATCAGCCAACCGTCTACTGGAGGTCGGTGCATTATTTCACTAAAAAGTATTGCGATCAAAAAAACTTTTAAATCGTCCTAAATAATTGCAAATTGACGATTTAGTATAGGTTCACTTTATGCCCCCCCCCCAAAAAAAAAATATAAAAAAACTTAATGTGACACTGAACACCCAATTTTCTTGGAAATTTATGATGAATTCAGATTCGAAAACCATTTAAAAAATAAAAATCAAAGAAGTTACAGCCAAATAACGGTTTCAGATTTCAATTCAGCCTTAAAACAAGAAAATGATGTATAACATGTGGCCGAATTTAAAAAATTTGAGCGGCGGTTTAAATTTAAGCCGCGACTTAAATATGGTTGGTTCCACTTAAAATTGTGTCAAATGTTTCAAGATTTAAGCCGGCGCCTAATTTAAACCGGGTTTTGGCAGATTTAAACCGCGGCTCAACTTCTTTAAATTCAGCCTATGATCACTTTTAAACATCTTTTTTGGGGTGGGATTTGATTTTGAAAAAAAATTGGCAATATTTTAAAGTGAAAACGCAGCGCAGTGACTTCCAGTATAGGCGGTTGGCTCAATTCAACGAGGTTATATAGTATACAGAGTGATGATGTACGCTAATCCTTCACTAATTGTTATATAGGCCATCAACCATACCGAGAGCGTACTGCATATTTGTTTATTATAAGGAGATTCTGGCCTAACCTATAGTGTATCAAAGACTTAGCTCGGACATTCCACAATACAAAGGAGTACTTAAATTGCTCCTACGATCCCTTTATTAGTTTATTTCTTTATTTTTAAAATGATATATTGTTTTAGTTGTACCTTGTACATCATCTCAGCTCGTTTCGTTATTTTTGGGGAACCATTAAGCTAAGTCTTACTGTATATTCTTTGATTCGTTTAAAGATCAAGAAATACTGCAAGAGCCCTCATATTTTTCTCCATATAAAAGTGTACTGCATGGACTTTCTAAAAGGAACGTGAACAAGTTTTGTTTGTAGATACCACCCAATGGCTCAGTAACATTATGCCTCGTTCCCGAATGCCTAGTTCGTGAATGCCTAGTTCACTATGTCTAGTTCATGAATGCCTTGACAACATTATGCCTAGATTTCTGAATGCCTAGATAACTTTATGCCTAGATTTTTGAATGCCTAGTTCATAATGCCTAGATAACATAATGCCTAGAGAACACAATGCCTAGACTCGTGAATGCCTGGATAACATTATGCCTAGATAACATAAGAGTGCATTGAATGCCTAGACAATGTATTTCAAAGAGAAATAAAAATATTAAAGAGAGAGAAAAAAACATACAATCCGGTAACATTTTTTCAAAAATCCGCAAACAACTTTCTAAAAATGTGCAACTTCAGTTATAGATGCAAGAGAAAGATTAAAGTTTGTTGTTTATGCCTTTGACAGCATGCCAAGAGCAGATTATATTTCTACTTTGGCCCATGATAGGCAAAAATTTGACCAAAAAGATATGTAATAAATCATGTAAACATATCAGTATCATTTATTTATTGCTTGACAATGTCTATTGGCATTCAATTCAGTCTAATGTTATCTAGGCATTGGGTGACTAGGCATTATGAAATCTAGGCATAATGTTTTCTAGGCATTCAGTAATATAGGCATAATGTTATATAGGCATTCATGAATAAAGGCATGGTGTTATCTAGGCATTACGAACAAGGCATTCATGAATCTAGGCATAGTGAACTAGGCATTCACGAACTAGGCATTTGGGAACTAGGCATAATGTTACTGATGATGAACTAGGCATAATGTTTGATGATGAAGTATATTTTGAGTGACTGCAAGCATGGCATTTTATCCTCTGGGGTCTAGCTGATTTATTAATTTGTTTATGTGTACTTTTAGCATTACACTCATTTTTAAACAAGAATTTAAGGAAGTTTCTGGACCCTGGTGGTGGTGAATCTTCCATATATCCAAGTGCATTTCAGTTCTGCTCTTTTACTTTACAGGGTGTCCCACGCACGTGGATTTAACGGTTCTGTTCTTATTCCAGGAAACTGGGACTTTCGATCACAATTTTATCTATTAAACATAAATATTTTGCCCTTTTTCGTTAATACTTTTTGCGTGGGCATTTGTGTTTTAAATGATAAAGTATAAAACAGACAGCTCCTTTATTGTTGAATTTTAGACCAAAACGCATTTGATTTGAAATTTGAAATATCTAATACAGTTTATGGAAGAAGACATTCAAAAATATTTCGTCATATTTCGTAGGACACCCTGTAACCATAGGTCCTTGTAGTTTTAATAATGTACTGACAAGATCATAAAAGATTTAAGTTTACCTGGCAGTTTTGTACATACATGTTGATAAAATATTTATAAAACATTTTGTGAAAATAGTTTTCAAACAAAAAATTTTTTTATTATTTTTTTTTACAAAAGAGCTGATTTTGAATTAATTATTCACATTATTAATCAAAAAATTTTGTTAATTTTTAATGGGTTGTTTATTTAAAGTAATTGTTTACTTTCGAGTGGATTTAATTAAGTTCAATAATGATTCACGATGATAATTTTTAAACCTTTATCTAAACATTTTGCAAAGAAGAACTCTTATTCTTCTCTAGATAGAAAATAAAATGCACCCTATTTTATCAGATACAAGTTGTGAATTGTCGTAACTCGTTGATTAACATTTTTTAATGTATTCAAAAATGCACATGGATTTTATGACATCCTACAGAAAATTGTTTTTTCTTAACAATTTAACAGAGAGGAGTGGGGTCTAATGACGGAAATGAGTTTTGGCAAAAAACTCTAATTTTTTCATCTCTATATCTTAGCACTTTGATGTCGTAGACCTTTGATATTTAAAACTATGAATTCTGTTGGTTCAAATTGTCTAAATTAAAAAAAATATCACAGGTTTACATCACCGGGTTGCTAAGAAATAACGGTTCGAAAATTTAAGTTTGTGGCAAAGAGGTAATTCCTTTATTTTAGGTGAACACTTGTAAAACATCCATTGACATTATCTTGAATAAAAATAGTTGAAAGATATATTTAACAAATAATCCTGTTATAGATCTAAACACAGGTACACAAACTTTAAATCAGGATTTCACAAATTATAATAAACATATTTACATATTCATACTTTAGACTGTCAATCTAAATTCAACCAACTCGTTTATATAAAAGCGCCATTTACAATTCACAAGAGTAATCTTTTAATCTAAAAATAGTTTAATTGGTTGAGAAGTGGATAGTTGATTCTTACAGCAAAGACGAGCAAAAAAACGGCCAGATTTGTCTGATTAAAATGAAACTGTTTTTAACCCGCATTGGCAGTATTTTATCATTCAAAGTTGAGTATTTGAAAATCAGGCAGACATATAATACGAATTCGAATTATCTAACATAAGTGACAAGTGCAGCATTCGAAGCTTAAAGTTTTCGAACTAAAATTCTAAATATTACTGGAATAACTGTATTTAAATCACAGTAGAAGAAGTTATAAGAATGGAAGGGGGAAGTCACCAAGCCTCTGACTCGGTCCCCGACATAGTGTGGTCCACTGTACCGGTCCCAGGGTCCATAGTCTGGTCTATAAACTCCTCTGCTAGCTCACGGTCCATACCTTTAGTCATAATAATAAAATAGTAATAGTAATAGTTATAAAAATAATAAAAAAAAAATAAAAATAAAAATAATAATAATAATAGTAATAATAATAACAATAATAATAATAATTATAATAATAATAATAATAAAGAATAGTGTTTACGCAGGCTATGTACACTTTTATATGACGTCATTGGCTGCAGTATTGGTTTTAAATTCAAACAATCAACAATAAAACTCTAGTTATCAAATAAATTAATCATTGTAGGTGCTAAAAGGGTGGGAAAATAACGACACGGTTATAAACTTCTAAATTTGTTTTAATCAGTTATAGGATAGAATGCTCGTCTGCTAAAATAAAGCTAAAATTGTGATTTTGTTGCGCATCTTATTTGTATGAAAAATAACACATATTTTAAAGGAAAATTTGTTTGATGTCATTAAGTATAGTTTTGTAAAAGTCTAAAGCAGAATAGTAGGCCAGTAACGTGAGCAAGGCCCGAAAAAACCTTGGTTTTAAGTAGCCAATTTTTTTTAACCAGTTACGTATTGCAATCTGTTTTAAGATAAAGTTTATCTAAAAATTTATGTATTTCTAACGCCAAATTACGTAAAAAACGCAAGTTTCTGGTAATGGAAATGCTTAAAAAGTCCTAAAACTTTTTAAATTATAGAAAAGACGACATTCTATGGCTTCTTATTGAACCCAATTGAGTCGTCTGGTTTTGCGTTTAAATCCCAATGCCTACTCTTTGTATTTCAAAGCTTTTTGATAGGAACAAAATTTCATTTATAAAAAGATACAATTTTCTTATTTCGGAGTTATATAATCAACCTGATTATAAGCTTGATCCCAATCTTGTGGATAATACCAAGCTCCGGGTACACCATGAACTCCAGGTACACTATGAACTCCAGGAGCACCAGACCCTCCCACAATAACACCTGGGGGTATCCCTAAAAAACAAAACTTGTGAAACCTCCTTTTTTATGTTTAAAGTGCAGTGCTTACCAACAAATTGCTGCTGATACCCTGTAGATGGGTATCCACCAGGGTAGGCGTGGCCCTGTTGAGAAGGGTAGGCGTACCCCTGTTGAGGAGGGTAGGCAGACCCGGCGGGGTAGTAAAACCCGCCAAACATCTCCAGCGGCGGGTAGGTGGGGAAATGAGAAGAAGGCGTCTGAGGGATGGAGAGGAGCTGAGGGGTGTGTCTGGTGGAGTGGGTGTGGCGTGCAGCAGGTGATTTAGATCTAGGGCGTGTCCGGTTCGGCGGGGGGTCCTTGGGGGAGTATCTGCTTCCAGGAACAGAAGGGGAGGGGTCGGAAGGGATGTGAATGAAAGGAGGTGTGGTCCTTGGATATACAGGGTGAAGGGTGGAGCCTCGTAGCTTCCCGTAGGGTACTGATAAACAATCCTTTTATTCTAGAGACTTGTATGCAGTCAATTCAGAGGGGTTATTCACGACAATTTAGGGTAAGTCATAAAGGTTACGGCTTTAATCCATTAAAAATCCGTGTGTCAATTATTACTGAAGGTGCAGTATTATGTTCCATTAAGGTTTCTACTAATCTAGAAATCAAATGGTACCTTTACAGTTATGGTATTATCATGTCCCATATTCAAATGAGATGTCCCCTAGTGTAATGTATAAACTAAAATTTACTGAACAAATACATCCCCACCAAACCCCCCCCCCCCCCCCACCCTCTTTCCCTCCCTTCAGTACTAAATCCCATCCCCTGCTACTTCATGTCGCCTCGGGAGGTATTTTTGTTATTCTGAATTTGAAGTTTCTTGAAATATTACAGTTTTACTTTAATTCTAGTCTTTCAAGACAGCTAGGGAAGAAACACAATAATAATTAATTAAGGAAGTCCAATTTTTATCCACCAACATCATAATTTAATTTTAGCTTTAAACGTTTTTGCTTGATACCCCCTTGGGGTTCTATTTCTTCCAAAAGAAGAACAGATTATATATTTAGAATTTGACCTTCTGATCTAGAAATCTAAAGTGGCCAAGCGCCGCCAGTTTGTCACTACAGCATATAAAACTAATGCTTGGTTACAAATAAAGGATAGATTCTCGGTTTTCTCTTAAATTAAATTTTGTAAAAAAAATGTAAAATGATGTTTTCCTGAATTAGTATTGTATAGTACTGGAGACTGTTTACCCAACCAGGATATTAGACGATCCTTTCCTTCTCCATACTCACCAGATCCACCATACAACCTTAAACAACAAAGTACAGTGGAACCCATAAAACTGCGGAATTGGAAGACGACCGTTCGACTCAAGTTATAAAATTGAATAGTTGACTAAATTATGAACATGTAACACAGGAATAGTGTACTGCAGAAATACAGAATTATTTAAAATAAAAAGATATTGGTAAAAATATTTGCTTTATATCACTAGCAGCACAAATACACATATTTTGATTTAAACGTCGTCTTCATATTCCACAGTTTTAATGGACCCTCTGTATCTATTGAGAAAAATAACTGTATGTATGGAGAAAAATAACTGTATCTATGGAGAAAAATAACTATATCTATGGAGAAAAAATAACTGTATGTATGGAGAAAAATAACTGTGTGTATGGAGAAAAATATCTGTATGTATGAAGAAAAATAACTGTATGTATGGAGAAAAAAAACTTTATGTATGGAGAAAAATAACTGTATGTATGGAGAAAAATAACTGTATCTATGGAGAATACTAACTGAATCTATGGAGAAAAATAACTGTATATATGGAGAATAATAACTGTATCTATGGAGAAAAATAACTGTATGTATGGAGAAAAATAACTCTATCTATGGAGAATACTAACTGTATCTATGGAGAAAAATAACTGTATATATGGAGAATAATAAATGTATATATGGAGAAAAATAACTGTATGTATGGAGAAAAATAACTGTATGTATGGAGAAAAATAACTATATCTTTGGAGAAAAATAACTGTATCTATGGAAAAAAAATAACTGTATGTATGGAAAAAAATATCTGTATGTATGGAGAAAAATAACTGTATGTATGGAGAAAAATAACTGAATCTATGGAGAAAAATAGTTGTATCTATGGAGAAAAATAACTGTATCAATGGAGAAAAATAACTGTATCTATAGAGAAAAATAACTGTATCTATGGAGAAAAATAGCTGTATCTACAGAGAAAAATAACTGTATTTATGGAGAAAAATAACTGTATCTATAGAGAAAAATAACTGTATGTATGGAGAAAAACAACTGTATATATGGAGAAAAATAACTGTATTTATGGGGAAAAATAACTGTATGTATGGAGAAAAATAACTGTATGTATGGAGAAAAATATCTGTACGTATGTATGGAGAAAAATAACTGTATGTATGGAGAAAAATAACTGTATGTTTGGAGAAAAATAACTGTATGTATGGAGAAAAATAACTTTAAGAAACTTTATATCACAATGCACATAATGATTGATAAAATCAAATTAAGAATAAATCAAAGCTGAGAAAAAATTTAGGAATTATCAGGATTGTTTTGAATATTAGAAACTAGTAGCTTATTATATTGTCGCGAATTACAGGTCTATAAGACATTACATTATTACATTACACTATTTAGACACATTATTATCCTGGCACCCATAAATTCAGCTATTAAACGTTAAATGCATTTTAATTCCTTAGCAGTACAGGACGAGAGATTAGCTAAACTTTTGTTTAAAAAAAATAGTATTACGATTACAGGCAGTTTCTTACCCCTCTTCTCCAATGCTATAATATTGACTCCAATTTGTGATCAAAGACAAATCATTGATTAAGTTTACATATTTTTAAAAATGAAAAATCACACATCAAAATTAAAAGCTGGCTTTACTTCATTTTGCAATGTAAATATATAAAATAAACAGGCAGAAAATATAAAATAAACAGGCAGGAAATATAAAATAAACAGGCAGAAAATATAAAATAAACAGGCAGGAAATATAAAATAAACAGGAAGGAAATATAAAATAAATAGGCAGGAAATATAAAATAAACAGACAAGAAATATAAAATAAAAAGGCAGGAAATATAAAATAAACAGGCAGGAAATATAAAATGAACAGGCAGGAAATATAAAATAAACTGGCAGGAAATATAAAATAAACAGGCAGGAAATATAAAATAAACAGGCAGGAAATATAAAATAAACCAGCAGGAAATATAAAATAAACAGACAGGAAATATAAAATAAACAGGCAGGAAATATAAAATAAACAGGCAGGAAATTCTAGAAGAGAAAAATTGTGTTGGTAACAAAGACAAGATATACCTCGGATCATAGCAATCACATAGTTCCCTGAGACAAAGTATGACGGACGGTAAACTGAAGATAATATCCAGGAAGCCGAGGATAATGAGAAGAGTGTTGATCAACATCCCCGACTCCCTGCTACTAATATTAATATCGGAGATAGGAACAAGATCACCGTTCTCAGTCTTCTCTACTCCATAGGGTTCATTAGCGTCTTGGGCTAACCCTAGAGTCACAGATTATTCAGATAGGATCATTTGTGTTCTTATAGTATTGGTTTAATAAACCTTTAAATACGCAAGGTATTCATTATAAACGTCAAAGTAAACTAAAAATCATTTTGTATCTTTTTTAAAAACATTTAATGAAACCTCCAACATTCTAAAACTATATTCTGGTAACGTTTGCTTTCATTAAACATTGCAATATTTTTATCCTACAAATAAATGGAAAAACAAACCAATTAACGATCGTTCGTTAACACGTTCGATCTTGGTTAGTGTTGAGCATAAATGAATTTTCTTTCAGTGCACATAGTGTGAGGAGAGCAATTGTTAGGAATAAACACTTTTGGAAAATGTTGATCCTGATAGAAAATATATGCAACAACGAACCCAGAACGATTAACTACACTATATACTTATTATATAAATTCCCGAATTATATAATCTGTCCCTGTAGCTGAGTATATGATGAGTAGGATAGAGGTTAGCAGATTAATTAAAGATGAAATCAGAAACAAAATTACATAAATGCGCGACGCTCGTGTTCTGACAGTATAAGCTCCGAGTACACCTGAAATGATTACTAAAACTCCGTCCCATATACCAGCAGCATGCCCGGCATACCCAGCATGCTGTACTATAGCTGCTGCTCCTAGTCCTATCAGCATGCATCCCCCAACAATCTTCAGGGCTGCTAATGTAGCGGTTAGCTTAAAAGGAAAGAAACCGCCTGTAATGGATAAGCTCTCGTCTGGCTGAGTTACCCCTGAAATCACTGATCTTGAATGTTTAAGTGTAGAGGACTGAACCCCCAAACTGCTCCGCGCCCCTCTACGTCCATCCATATTTTTTGCCAATATATTTCTGACCCGGTGTGTAGGGGTGGGGGGGGGGGAACTTTCACTGAATATTTGAGCTTGTTTTTGCGTTCCTATGTATACCATTGGCAGGGGTGCAGTGTAGGTTGGGCCCTAGGCCAGTAAAACCCACATATATTTCCTCCCTTGTCCATCATACTACATCAAACTCTCCAAGCTTCTCAGGGTACTATCTACAACTGGCTGTTTTAGAGTAGAGAGGAAGGTGTATGTAATTATCTAAAAAGATAGGATTTATAATCAGCTCTTGTCTGGGAACCTAGCACAGGATAGTTCACAGCATTTCACCTCAGCTCTCTCTCTCTCTAACGACCAGATTTTATCTTTGACCGTGTAATTTGATTTCACAAATCTGATCTTGTAGGTGAGTACACAGACCCCTCTAATAATCTTTAATTATACTAGACATTCCTGTAGTTCTTTAAACCATCCCTCAGATATAATTTCTTGCTCCGAGCTAAACAGCAAAATATATTTTTCGAGTTAACCTTGTCTGCAAATCCATAAACGATGCTCTAGAAACTGTCTAAAAATAATTTCCCTAATATCTCGTCACTGTATGAATGCTATGGACTGCTATGGTCGGAAACAAACTGTAAAAGCGGCGATATTTCCTTTACTTCCTGGGCTGGGAATATTTTCTCACGAAAATATATCATTATACCCCGACAGATGGTTTTTAACTATAGTTACATGGTTTAATCAGGGAAGGAATTCGTCTGGTAGTGTTTCAACTCCATGTTAAATCTTAAACTATGAGAACTCCTGGTTTCCCGTTCCTAGCTCTTCTCTCCTGTACAACCCAACCCTCCGCTTCCTCAAGAGAACTGAGATCTACGGCGGTATTAGCGCACACACAATACTCATCTATACATGCGTACACATCTCCAACATTCCTTAACATACACACACCCCTCACACATCACAACTCACAGTCACATTCGTGATATAGACATGTGTAGTATGTATCATACAATATACACAACATTAAACTCACATTTCTATCTGATTACAACATAAAACATGAAAACCGCCTGTAAAAATTTATACACTTCCGTAAAATCTAATTTTAAGAAATGGTTTAAAAGTTAAATTTTTCAACCTTATGTTCAAAATCGGAATTCTAGATTAAAAGAATACTTGCAAAGCCACTACACTGACAATTTTTTTTACAAAATCATCCAGTTTCACATAATTTCACTCATCAAAATTTAATTCTTTTAAAATTCTTTTTGTGCATGAAATCTGTTCTTGAATCATGCATATTGCATAGATTTTCCTTAGATCCGCGAGATTTAATGTGTAAGTGTCTCTTTCTGCCATAAGCATATCTCCCACGCTATATCTTCTCCTTAATTTCACATTTTTTCTACTTTTTTACTATTGTGTTTAAGTATTGCTCTTTAGATACCCCCAAATTTTGATTAACCTCATATATATATATATATATATATATATATATATCTAAATAATTATAAAGATCTTCGCAATAGCTGGCCAAACGGCTGGACCTAATTGGCTAAATGTTTTTGAGGAACCCCATGGGTACCATGTGGGTAAAAAGCTTAAAAAATTAAATTTTTTCTTCAAAATTAGATTTCTTTTCCCAAAGTGTTTTTGAAATTCCATGGGCAAGGCCGGGCTAGTGCCAAATATAGAGAATCAGTTTATTGTAGTTTTGAAGTCTTAATCTATATATGAATAAAATTATCTTTGTTAGACGGTCCGATCAAAACTCAAATAATTTTCCTCAATTTTTTTATTGTAGACTATACTATAGGTAGTTTTACTTTTCTAAGTTGAGTTAGTGGACTCTTCAAGAAAAAGATTAGCTTCCACTTCACGCACCCCTGACCCTTCAGTAAAAGTAAATTCAACCTAAAGTCTGACCGCGTCAACCTTGTTGAACCGGATAGTCCTTTTAGTGTCTGCTTCATTTATCCGATGTCCGGGCGATACAGTACAAACTATTACCGGAAAGGTTGACCCGACTCGGATTTTTCACATTTTTCCGACATGCTTTTAAAACTTTTTTTTTAAACCTCCTTAGCACCATAACCATTAAAGTTAGAAGTATAATTTTTTTAATTCTTGAAAGGTTGGAGTATGGACATGAATGTATCACAGTCGCCTATCTCAACTCTAAGGCCAAAATCATTGGGGGTGTGGACACAAAAATAGCCCAATCGGGATAGGGTAAAGCAAGGTATGGGGCCTCGTATTCTTTTTTTTTAGAATAAGTCACAGTCGCAGAAATTCATTTGATTGTCCTAAATAAGAATGAAAAATCTCCTTGTCATAGAAGCAATAAATGCAGGTTTCTTTCACTTTCTTCTACACACTTAGGAAAACAGTAGATTAGTCTAATCAGAGAAAAATATTCTATAATTGGTTTAAAAGACTGTAAGCTTAATTTCAAGTAATCCTCAAGGCAAAGATGCCATCGCCCGATTTACAACAGTACCCTTAGAGCTTTACCTGACCAATAATGTGAAAGATATAATTGTCGTTGAAAAGTGTTTAATTCTGTTAATTCCTATATGTTTTCCTGCAGTAGAAATGCAAAAGTAGAAATCACAATTAAGAATTATTAAAATATAAAGATTATCGTAACATTGATTTATAATCCATGCTTATTCATACAAATCTGCTTATAATACCGACCGTTGTTAATTAAGTATTGTCATCTTTGTGTGAAGGGTAAAGTTAAATTATGCACTTGAAGAACCTTTAATTTCTCTACACAGAATATTTATTTAAAAATGTGAACCAACACCTGTGTGGGCCTAAAGTATAGTCATCCCAAGAACTTGAATTGCTCATGCATTGTGTATGAATTGTATATATTGTATTTATCGTATGCAAGGTTAAGAATCTTCATTCCACACGTCGCTAACAAATAGTCAGGAGTAAACTTCGGATAACGCCTAAAACACCATGGCAAAATTTGAAAATTATGTGAGTATAAATTGCGAAATTTACATTGAATGACCGTTCAAGGTGTGTTTATGTACCAAGGCACTTCACGTATTCTTGCGATTATTCTAAACATGGATTATTTACTATATGCTATACAAATCATGCAGTATACATATACCATCTACTAAATATAATATATCTATACTCAGAGATTAAATTATTGTTTTCAGAGAAACATTTTTATTTAAAATGTTTATCCAAAACTGGTCCATAAAAACATTTGTATATACTGGTCCATAGAAACATTTGTATATACTGGTTCATAGAAACATTTGTATATACTGGTCCATAGAAACATTTGTATATACTGGTCCATAGAAACATTTGTATATACTGGTCCATAGAAACATTTGTATATACTGGTCCATAGAAACATTTGTAAATAATTGTATATACTGGTTCATAGAAACATTTGTATATACTGGTCCATAGAAACACTTGTATATACTGGTTCATAGAAACATTTGTATATACTGGTCCAAAGAAACATTTGTATATACTGGTCCATAGAAACATTTGTAAATAATTGTATATACTGGTTCATAGAAATATTTGTATACACTGGTTAATATAAACATTTAATACACTATTATTAAAAACTGGCCAATAAAAAAAATTATATGTACTTTGTATATTTTGTCGCATAGAAACATTCGTATATAATTGTATATACTGGTGGAAACATTTCATAATTTTATCAAAAACTGGACCTCAGAAACATTTGTATTTACTTTGTAAAAACTGGTTTTAGCAGCATTTGTATACATAATATTTATAAAAAATTGGTCCATGTTTCATTAGAGACTCCCGGATTGGCGTTGGTTTATTTCATAGATGGACATTTCAAAGATAACAAAATCATATATAGGACATTTCATAGAAAAAAAGAAATCAAAGATAGAAATTTCCCTATACAGGACGTTTCATAAACTGAGTAGATTTTTCATAGGCAGGCAATTTCATAGACATAGAAGAATTTTCATAGATAGGTAATTTCAAAGACACAAAGGCAATTTTTTGAGACAATTTTTGGGTTTGTAAAAAATGTGTCGCAATTTTAGAAAATAGGATCAGTTTGACTAACAAGAAATCAACATTATAATATGTTATCCGTTGAAGGAAAAAAAATATGAATAATATGCGAAGTACAAATCAGAGAGATAGAAAAGGGTATGCATATTTATTAGATAAGATTACTTGGAAGAACAAATTTATTTATCTATATAAAATATTCTCTGTCTATGAAATGTCCCATCTCTGTCTATAATGTCCTGTCTATATAATGTCCTATCTATGAAATATCCCATCACCCCCAGATTCTTGTTGAAGACCACCATCATTTCACTGGAGACCCTATATTTTCGTTGAAGACCCCCAGGTTCATGTTGGAGACCACCATAAATTCATTAGAGACCACCAGATTTCCATTGGAGACCCCCAACTTTTGGTTTTAAGCCAATACTTTTTGTTTTAACCCCCAATTTTCATTGGAGACCCGTGAATTTTTGTTTTAAGCCCACACTTTTTTTGTTTTTAACCCCCAATTTCATAAGGGACCCTCAGATTTTCATTAGAGATCTCTAAATTTTCGTTTTTAGTCCCCACTTAACATTTTCAACCCTTCAATTTTTATTGGAGAACTCCAGATTTTCAGTGGGGAGCCCGACCTTTTCGTCGGCGACCCCATAATTTCATAATTTTCTTGAAACCCCAAAGTTTGATTTGAGATACCAGATTTTCGACAAGTCCTCAATTTCAAATATTTATCAAAAGATATAGAGGGAGATGAAATTGGAAAGCTATCCTGTGAAAGGATGAATAATGTGGGACTTAGATAACCATAAAGGGGGTCTTAACTATCAATGACTAAAGATCGCATAAAAATACTAGTTTTTACTTGAAATGGAGGCCATGGGGTCTCAGATAAAATTAAGGGGTCTTTTTGTTAAACTCAGTCTAGTTTAAAAATTTGGTTCTATTCGGTTCTTAAAATTCACAGCATTTTGTTGAAATGCGGGATTTAAACAAGTCTATTTTGCATTTTTTTCCGTACAAATATCTAATTTTCTCAGAAAAAAATATATTTATCAACTAACATGGAAACTCTATAGCTATTACTCAAATAAAAATGTAGTACACGTCGTGGCTTGGTCTTTTAAAAATTAGCCTTTGAAAAAGAATTTCCGAAAGAGTAAATGTTTTGGCGTGGAAGATCAATATAGTTGTTGCGTATGGCTAGGGTTGTACATTAACTTGATTAGTTTTCTTAACTTTGAAATTTAACAGTATATGTTAACTTTTGCTTCTGGTATCTATTTTGGTTCGTTTTTTGCATATGTTCTCTCCGGGTCAATATATTTTACAGTTAAGTAAATCTTTAGGATAAACAACTTTGAAATTTTCAAATCCACTTAGATTTGCTTTAACTTGAAAATGTTTGAAATGCCAAAAAAAAAGAGCAAATGCAAACCAAGTTTTCTCTAATCACGGATGCCAGAAGACAAAAATGTGTAATATGTGACATGGAAGAAGAAATATTGTTGCCGCATGCCTTCCTTACTTCCCCTGATTTTATGAATTAAAGACAAGTTTTCAATTTTCTCCCCTTAGCTTTCTTTCAAATTAAAAGCTATTCCTTTCTCCAGTTTTTTCATTATCTTTAAGTGTCAGCTAGCTTGTAAGCAGGCCTGTATCTAGGATTTTCAAAAGGGGGATACACAATAACTTTCTACAGTACGAGGGAGGGATCCCACGGCAGTCATGAGCCTCTACCTTGCAGAAACGAGCTTCCCAGATTTGTTATGCAGTACGAGCCTCTGCTATGCAGTAAACGAGCCACCGCTATACAGTAAACGAGCCACCGCTATACAGCACAGCTTCTTAATTACTCTTGTTTTTTTTCCATGTAATAATGGATTAAATTTCTTTTTTTTTTCAAAATAGTGGCACAAGAATGAAAGAAATAAAGATTAATGTTATTTATTGATTGTCATTATTTCTAACTTATATTAACTCATGAAGTGGATCATAATAGTTATGTTTTATAATAAAATATTTCTTACGCAGAAAGGAGGCTATTTGGAAATTAATTTTTGTACTCAACTTAGTTTATTTTGTTTTAATCTTTGATTTAAGCATTAAGCAATACCTTGCTTGGGAATGATTTAGATGCAGATTAACTGTCAATATCAAAATTGTGATAATAATTTCAAAAAAGGTATTGCTTATTTTGATTATAAAATATTAAATAAAATTACTTAAGAATTTATTTCTCCAAATGTTTCCTTTTTGCGCAAAAATGATTTATAAACCACTTTATTAGTCATAATTAGGCACTATTTATGATTGATCTTCGATAAACGTTTTATGCCACTATTTCAAAAAAAGTGCAAAAATTCTTTACAATATGGTAAAACCAAGAGTTTTAAGGAAGCTATTCTGTATATTTAATTAATCATCTTTTTTGTTCCACTTAAAACAAATACTTGAATTGATTTTTTTCCAGCTTACATTACGTAAACTGGAAATTTTTCCGGTTTACAGAATGGAAACTAGAATTATTCTGGTTTATGTTCCGTAACCTGGAAATTTTCCCGAAATGGAAACTGGAATTTTACGGTTTATGAAATGGAAACTGGAATTTACGGTTTATGAAATGGAAACTGGAATTTTAAGGTTTATAAAATGGAAACTGGAATTTTCTGGTTTATGAAATGGAAACTGGAATTTTCCGGTTTATGAAATGGAAACTGGAATTTTCCGGTTTATGAAATGGAAACTGGAATTTTTGAGGTTTGTTGATTTATTTTTACTATCTTAGGTAATTTTAAACATTTCTATTTAATTTTTTTGTAATTAACAACCTGATGAGATAATAAAAGTTGAAATAAAAACATAATAAAATCAACACTAAAAGAATTAAATTTAAATTTTGTCTGAATTTATTAATTTTGAGTTATTTATTTCTTACCGAAGTGATAAAATATAAAAATGAAAAGGCAAGAGAACTGAAAACTGGTAACTGTAACTAATTCTCTTATATAGTTAGATTTGTATAGAATAATGTCAAATTTGTTCATCTCTATATAATACTGTAATACTTATACTGCAAGTTAAAGAATTCGTAAAATTTAGAAGATAAAAATGGAATTCTAAATCTCAATTAAAAAGGCTTTTTAATACAAACTGTTAATGTATCATTTAAACAATTAAACTATTTAATCATGTTGCGATTATTTGAAAAAAAAAGTTTTTGGTGGATGTAAAAGCCAAAATTTTAATTGGAGACCAAAATTCGATTGTATTAAATCTGTCCTACAAACAATACCTAGGATCTACCCGCACGTGGTTTTTCAGCAGCTTCTAGCTGGTGTTGGTCCGATGAACTGTATATCGGATACACTGCACTCAGGTCGGTAGGCTGGTAGCACATTTGATTGTAGGTTGGATGCAGAACTTGTGTAGGTCAGTTGCACTGTATTTGTAGGTCAGATAAACAACCTTAGTAGGTCGGATGCACAACATTAGTAGGTTGGATGCAGAACTTGTGTAGGTCAGTTGCACTGTATTTGTAGATCAGATAAACAACCTTAGTAGGTCGGATGCACAACATTAGTAGGTTGGATGCACAACTTTTGTAGGTCGGATGCAAAACTTTTGTAGTTCCTGCGTAGGTCGGATTAACAAAATATAATGCACATCTGACCTACAGCTGTCGTAGGTTCGAAGACGGAAGTATTGTAGGGTAGAAATGCTGTAGGACAGAAGTAACATTACACAAAATTCTGGGACTGATGACAGAAGGGCGGAGACCTGAAGACTTAGCGAGAGACGCGGCGACAGTTTGCAGGGCTTGGAGGTCGTTCCGCGTATTAGGAGGCTCTGCAGGTAATGTCGTACCTCGTACAAATGCACAGTTTTACACCCAATGAGCCTAGTCCGAGGAAATTTTTTTGAATTTCATGATCCGGATCCCATGAACATTGCTTGAAATACAATGAACTTGATCCTTTAAGCATGTCTTTAAATTTCATAATCCTGATCCCATGAGCATTGAGCCTATCTTACTGCATTTCAAGTTATTATGCAAATAGGTTTTCTAAGGTTTTCAGGGAAAGTAAGAAAAATAGGTTTTTACAAAAATTTTACTTTTTATGATTACAAACATTTAAAAAAAAAATTTACATTTGAATATTATTTTTGCAAAATAGACCCAAAAAACTTTAAAATATGTTTAAAAGTTTTTCAAGTTATTATGCAGATTAATTGATTCTTTTAATAAAAAAAACGTTAAATATAAAAGGAAATATGAAAATTTTATTTCAACCTAGAAAAAAGTAGCCTCCTAAGGACCTCCAGTAGCCTCTTGTCCATGCTGGTTTATCACTAGCTTCAGCTTTCTATACAACACCCCACACCTCTCTTTGTATGCTATAATGTCTACAAGAGTGGTAAACTTTCATCTTCAGAATGGCCTTCAAGTTCCTTATGGTAGTTAAATTGGGTCATTTTGACCCTAATCTTGTTGTGACTGAATCATTGACTACCAAGCCAACCCATGTTCTCCCTAAATGCATGCCAGGGGGCATTGTCTTGTTGGAATACAAGCTTTTTTTGAATCTCAGAATTCTGTATCAAATCATAAATGGTCCTCCAGGAACTCACAGTAACCCTTGGACTGAAACTTGACACCATCTTGAACCTTGATTGGTTCACTGATCTCTACCCTGATGATCCTGCCTAGATAATGAACCCCTCTCCCATCTCTTGCCTTCATTTACGCTCCTAGGGGTTATAGTCATTTAAACACCAAACTTTTGCCCAACCGTCTGGGCTATTAAGAATCACACAGCAATAGTTTGTAAAGACGACTTCTGAGAAGTCTAGCTTATCATATGATGTGGCCTTTAAAAACTTTTTTTTACTTGTGTCATTAGGTCAGGGGTGGAATAAATTTTTTTTACTTTTGTCACAGATCTTTAACGCGTCTCCCACTCCCTGTACGTAATATTAAAATTTGCTTTCTCCGATAAGTCATCTTCATAATACATTTTGTACTATTTTTTTCAACCTTTACAAAAGAATGAACTGTACAGTGATCTCGGTTTTAAATCTTCAAACTTTTCAATGTATATGAACAGGCAGCAAGTTCCTTTATAGTTTTTGTTCTTTACCCTTCACTCCAGTTCAACTTTATTTCCCATATTTCTGTGATTAAGGTAACCAAGTTTCCACTTGCATAATAATTTGATTCACTGTAAAAGTACAATTTTACACTTAGTGTGTACTGTTTACAACTCAAGAAAACATTTAAAAACCTTCAGGAAAAATTTATTTCCGAGTCAGAATTAAAAAAAAACGTACTTGCATAATAACTTGAAACGCAGTGTAGAAGTGCTTTGACTCTGGTCCTATGTACATATCTTGAAGTACTATGATCCTAATTCTATGAACATTTCTTAAAGTTCTATGATTCCGTATTCTGATCCTATGAACATCTTGAAGTATTATTATTCTGATCCTATGAATATTGCTAGGAGTACTATGATCCTGATCCTCTGAACATATCCTGGCACTTGATGATCCTGATCCTCTGAACATTGAACTTGTCCTGGCACACTATGATCCTGATAATATGAAAATATCTAATGCCTCATTATCCTGATCCTATAAATAAAATATATCCAGGTCAAGATAAAATCAAGATAAAATAAATATTTCAGAACAATCATCGTCAATATATTCGAATGAACTCGTAACCTGCCAATCCTAAGAACTTTATGAACAATAGTCCATGAATTCTTTGATCCTGCACTTGACTAATCCTGATCCTAAGACTGGAACAGAAAAGATCCTACAAGCATGAAATTATTTAGCAAAATTAAAAAAAGTATAGGTTGAGTTTTGGAACCAATTCAATGTGGTTGGTTTAAAAAAACTTAAACTTTGGAATGATAGAAGAAAATCAATTGTTCAATTTTTAGATTTTACTGAATTTTGTAGGTGTCGTAAAAATGCTATTAGATGGCCATTTCAGACATTTCACAGACGGGTCTATAAAATGTCATATTTATGTAAAGTCTTTCCATGAAATGCCCTATCTATGAAATGTCCCAACACCGCTTCTTCAAATGAAGGGTTTAATCATTTCTAAAGTTTATATTGAATGTCAAATGAGGTAGATATTGACGTCTAAAGTTTATCTTGAATGTCAAATGAGGTAGATATTGACGTCTAAAGTTTATATTGAATGTCAAATGAGGTAGATATTGACGTCTAAAGTTTATCTTGAATGTCAAATGAGGGAGATATTGACGTCTAAAGTTTATCTTGAATGTCAAATGAGGGAGATATTGACGTCTAAAGTTTATCTTGCATGTTTATTTTCTGTGCTCCTAATTTAGTAATTACTGAAATTCTCTGATTATATAGAGCCTCATTACCATACTCTGAAAATCTAATAATACAAATGTTATGAGGACTCCTGTACCCTTCAAATCTTGTCGAATTTTTAAGTACACATAACCTGGCGATCCTAGTGTCCTGAAATATGATCCTGATCCTATGAACATGTCCTATGAGCATTAAACATGTCCCATGATCCTGATCCTATGAACATATCCTGATCCTATGACGGGGACTGTTAAGATCCTGCAAGAAAGTAAAATCATCAATTTATTTCAAAATAAGGTAGTATTTTATTGATTTTCATTGAAACACAATATTTAAATGAAATGCGAGGGAGTATTTATTTAACTACATCATTAAAGAAGGATTGTAGAATTTTAAAAGTACGGATGAAGACGTAAACTTAAAGATGATGATAGTATTGGTAGAATCATTGAACAAGAAAGATTAGTGCTTGCTGTAGATTTAAAGACAAAAAGGGGTTTAGATAAGGATTAGGAATACAAGATCATTGAAACAACAAGGATTGGGAATTAAAACTGAATGATTATCATATTGAGGACGAGAAGGTAGGATTTTCACTAAACACACGATAAACAAAATAACGATGACGATCTAAAATTGATTGAAACAAAATTATGAAAATACATTAAATTACAGAAAAGATCTAGAGAAAGAAAAATCCAGACCAGACCTTGTCATTTCAATCCTCAGTATGCCCCTGGGTGGGATCTAGGATTTACTCCTACTCCTCGTCTCACTCCTCTTCCTCCTATTCCTGCTCCTACTCTCATTCCTGCTCCTACTCTTGCTCTTGCTCCGACTCCTGCTCTTGCTCTTGCTGGATTCAGATCTTGACCTTGATTTGGTATAGGACCGTCTCCTCCTGACCGGGGAGTAGGTCGGGCTGGCTCGAGACATCTTCCTACTCCTTGATCTGCTCCGGCTAGGACTACGTCGCCTGCGGTCAGAACCGCGGTCACGGTCACCTCCACCAATATCCTCCTTCACGCGGACATAACTCGTCTCTCCCTAAAAATCGACAATTAATTTTTAAAACAAAACACTTTCTATCTAGGATCTACCAAACCAGTAGGATGAGTATTCAGTAACAAATTAACTGAATTAACTTTATTTTAGTTCTTTTAGGCGAGGGGGGGGGGGGGGGGGAGGGCTCAATTGGTAATTGAGGACTTCTGCACTCCCCCCTCATTACACATTTAAACACGAATCTTATTTAAACAAACGAAATCGAAAACCATTTTCTCTGACTCCTGGGATGCCAAAATGTTCGTTTCCCTCTATAGAAAATAGACGAAGAAAAAACTGTTTACTGTAGGGTGAGCACAGAGAAGTGAAATTAATAAAATCACAAGGGGCAAGGTTCTCTGGGTGATGTCAACCCTTAGTATTGAAATGCAAAAACATTTTTTCCTCTAATTGATGAACTATTGAGGAAAAAACCTCGATTTTTGTTAGACACTTAGTGACTTTAAATTTTGTACAGGCTGCATTTGGTTCTAAAAATTGAGATAAAAGGCTGAAATTTTGCAAGCAGCCATCTATTGTTGTCCTCAATCAAGATTTTTCCCAAAAACCGAAAACGACCAATCAACCTAAAATTTTCACAAAGTGGTCATAATGGACCACATCAACCAAAGAAACAAAGAACCAACAAATTTAAAATCATCCGTTTGTCACCTGTTTACCAATAGAAAATTAAAGTGAGTTAAACTTCATCGTTTAGTTCTAATGGCAGTGGAGATCCTATATGAAAAGTTTATTACCTCGTGAGATTTGAATTTTGTATCATCGAGTTTCTTCAAAGCGTACTTCATATCCTCATATCTATTGAAAACATCAATCAAATCATAAATAAATCAATTTCTCCTTCTCTTCCCTTTTTTCCTTTGCTGTAGGTGGTTAGGCTGTAGCCCTGGCTAATAATTGTTTAGTAAAAAATTATAAAATGTAAAATGTATTTATTATAATGTTAGCCGAAATATCTATCTATCTATCTATCAAATAAACAAACTCAAACATCATACGTAACGTAAGAAAAAATTTGTTGAATTGATTTAGGCTGCGTTTTAACAATGGAAAACAGGTTTTACCAAAAGGATATTGAGTGTATCAGAAAAAAACAATCTGGAGAACAATGCTATAATCTAAGGCTTTGGTACTGTAATCCTTGAATGTATCATAAACCCCATGCATCATTAAGATATGCGAGAAACCAACCTGAGATATTCTACAGCTCCGGAACCGTCCTTGAAAGTATCAGAGAAACACACATCCCCTGCTTCTCTCATGTGATCCTTGAGATCCTGCCAGCTCCCACTCGCGGGTAAACCTGAGAAAAAAAGAATCAGAAACTGGAATAAGGTTAATTACTGACAAATAATTATGTTAATGCTTTGAATTGGGAACATACACTTTCCTTAAAGTGACATTTTCCGAACTGAATATGGTTTATAGAATAAAAAGATTTATGTTTAAGATAAAAGTTGATCGGAATGATAATCAAGATGATGCTAATACCCTGTGTCTAGATGAAGATAATCAAGATGATGTTTAAACCTGGGTAATGGGTATAGATGATGATAATCAAGATGATGTTTATACCTGGGTAATGGGTATAGATGATGATAATCAAGACGATGTTTATATCTATGTCTAGATGAAGAAAATCAAGATGATGTTAATACCTGTGCATAGATGATGATAATCAAGATGATGTTAATACCTGTGTATAGATAATGATAATCAAGATGATATTAATACCTGGGTATAGATGATGATAATCAAGATGATGTTAATACCTGTGTATAGATGATCATAATCAAGATGATGTTAATACCTGTGCATAGATGATGATAATCAAGATGATGTTAATACCTGTGTATAGATGATCATAATCAAGATGATGTTAATACCTGTGCATAGATGATCATAATCAAGATGATGTTAATACCTGTGCATAGATGATGATAATCAAGATGATGTTAATACCTGTGCATAGATGATGATAATCAAGATGATGTTAATACCTGTGCATAGATGATGATAATCAAGATGATGTTAATACCTGTGCATAGATGATGATAATCAAGATGATGTTAATACCTGTGCATAGATGATGATAATCAAGATGATGTTAATACCTGTGCATAGATGATGATAATCAAGATGATGTTAATACCTGTGCATAGATGATGATAATCAAGATGATGTTAATACCTGTGCATAGATGATGATAATCAAGATGATGTTAATACCTGTGCATAGATGATGATAATCAAGATGATGTTAATACCTGTGCATAGATGATGATAATCAAGATGATGTTAATACCTGTGCATAGATGATGATAATCAAGATGATGTTAATACCTGTGCATAGATGATGATAATCAAGATGATGTTAATACCTGTGCATAGATGATGATAATCAAGATGATGTTAATACCTGTGCATAGATGATGATAATCAAGATGATGTTAATACCTGTGCATAGATGATGATAATCAAGATGATGTTAATACCTGTGCATAGATGATGATAATCAAGATGATGTTAATACCTGTGCATANAAGATAATACTAATAATATGGTTCTGTGTACCTGTGACTAGATAATAATCAAGATAATACTAACAATATGGTGCTGTGTACCTGTGACTAAATAATAATCAAGATAATAATGATAATATGGTGCTGTGTACCTGTGTCTAGATAATAATCAAGATAATACTGAAAATATGGTGCTGGTGTGTACCTGTGACTAGATAATAATCAAGATAATACTAACAATATGGTGCTGTGTACCTGTGACTAAATAATAATCAAGATAATACTGATAATATGGTGCTGTGTACCTGTGTCTAGATAATAATCAAGATAATACAGATAATATGGTGCTGTGTACCTGTGACTATATAATAATCAAGATAATACTGATAATATGGTGCTGGTGTGTACCTGTGACTAGAACCCTGTATTTGGATCTACGAGCAGGTGGTCCTCTGCCTCCACTACGTCCACCTCCAGCTCCAGCCCTAATCAGATTGTTTTCACATTTTAACATCAGGACAAAAACGTTAAAAAAGGTAACGTTGAATATTAAGGGATATTTAAAAAGTAAATAAACCGGAGCATAACATTTTATGATGTTTTTATTTCTGTCAAACTTGTACACCATAAATACAAAGCCTTTCTTTAACGCTTCGCACAAATTCTGAAATACATATTCTTTATGATATTAAGTATTATATGATATCTGTTCGGTTCCATAGTAGTAAACCAGGAGGAACAATTTTAATATTGTTCGCTTCCTTGCGTTTAAGAATTCTTATTCTTACACTGTAGGTGTAGAATTTTCATTCTTCAAACCTCAGACCGTGTAAGAATGTAAATTATTACACGGTCAGAGCGTGAAAGAATGTATATTCTTACACGCTCCGAGCATTAAAGAATGGAAATTCTTAAACTAGTTGAAGAATATTCATTCTTACACGCTCCTTATATTGATCTTTTCAGTATAGATCAATATTGATATTAACTTAATTATTTTGTACTGACAACATGCGCAGGGCAAACTCACCTTTTGCATTCATTTTAATACATGCAAACTTACCTTTTTTAACTAAAAAATAACATGCTCACTTACCTTTTTCTATAATATTAAAACATGCTCACTTACCCTTTATACTTTAATAAAACATGCTCACTTACCTTTTTCTTTTATATTAAAACATGCTCACTTACCTTTTTCTTTTATATTAAAACATGCAAACTTACCTTTTTTACTTTAGTAAAACATGCTCACTTACCTTTTTTATTTTTTGAAGTATTGATATATCTTAATTCAGAAATATCAATTCGAATCTCAACCCAAGTCCTGACAGAAGAGTGGAAATTAACATTTTCTGACCATTCCCAAAAATATGGACGATGCCTTTAGCTTTATATTAGACACTTTCATCAAACTGCCGAGTCTCAAAGCATACTGCCCGACTGCCTACTTTTTTAATATTTTTTAGTTCATCTTCATTTCAAACCAAGTTTGGTGAGACTTTGCAAATCTCTGCATACTTGAAATAATATGGTCAGAGCTTTTCAGTCTGAGTCACCATATCTCGCATAGTTCGAGATGATGAAGTGAAACCACTATCAAAACCAAAAAAAAAGTATAAAAACTTATCATTGAAATATTAGTGTCACAATTTTAATGGAGTCTTAGCACTCCATAGCAATGAAAACAAACCAGTAACCAGTAAGATCTTCATCAGTTTATGTCGAACTGATTCTTACTAGATAACCTGATATCTCCTCTTTTTGGAAGATTTAGGATCTAATATCCAGAAAATGATTTCTTCTATAAATGAAGACACGATATTGTTCAGTAGATTAAGACAACCCACTACAATACCTTCTCCCCATCTAAAAAAAACTCAGGGCAAATTTAACATGCTGTATCTAAATGTAGTACTAGTATCAACTTAAAAAATGAGCAAAATCATTAGAAATTGGTAAACAAACAAACTAAACTAAGGAAACAATCACACCACATGCATTACTTTCAAATTAAGAACCAATTTTTACTTCTAAAATGTTTTTTTTTACATTTTAACATTAGAAAAACAAAAAAAAACAGTGTTAGTCATGGAACCTCACAAATATGATATAATAATAATCTTATGAGGATAAAAATGTAATAATGGAATTCTTAAACTCGATGAAATAATCTTGATGCATTCTTTAACTCAGGCCTGCGGCCTTCGTTAATGAATACATCAAGATTATTTCATCTCCTTTAAGAATTTCCATACTTACATTTTTTTCCTCATAAGATTATCATAATAATTATCAAAGAAAGTCGGATAATACTTCATGAAACAATAAAATTGAAAATTATGCCTGAAACTGCCTCCTCCTCCCTTCGGGAACTCAACTCTAAGCCTGAAAACAGATAGTAAGAAAAATTAAGTTTTTGTGCAAAGGAAATTCACTAGGGAATGGCGGGTATTTATTAACCTTACAAAATTAAATTTCGAAAAGTCTATATAAAAGGAAGACGACAATATGCAACATTTTTACCTGTAACCATCATAATCGTATCCATCCCTAGCATGGACTGCATCCTCTGCATCTCTGAGAAGAAGATATCGTTTAACAATATTTTTATATTTTTATAAGTAAAAAGGGTGGCCCTCCAAGGCATACAGAACAGGGAAACAGGAAAACCTAGTGGACCAGCATACAAATACAAATCATATAAACATGTTGAATTTATACTTGCGGGTTAGGTTACTCGTTTTTGTACAAGGGAACTTGGAGGCTCTTCGTTATAAATAACTAATATTAAGAATTTACAATGCAACTATGAAATAATATGTACCTTGGTTCTTCAAACTCGACAAAAGCAAATGGAGGTCCTCGCCTGTTCTTTAGATCTATGAAAGCAATCTCCCCATACTTATGGAACAAATCTTGAATATCCTTAAAGTGAAAACATTATTGATTATTCGACCTGAGCTGAAAACTTTAGAATGGTGGACATCAAGATCATTGCTTGATCTCCTCTTTTTATTAATCTCCAGTTTAAATATGGCTTGTTCTCCTCTTGTTATTAATCTCCAGAGCTGAAAACTTTAGAATGGTGGATATCGAGATCAACGATTGATCTCCTCTTTTTCTTAATCTCCAGTTTAAATATTGCTTGTTCTCCTCATGTTATTAATCTCCAGATTAATTAACAGATTGGGATAAAGGATATCCCATTCTAAAGTTTTCAACTCAGAGCAGGTAACTTTTGTACTGTGGATATCTAGATCAATGATTGATCTCGCTCTTTTGGTAATCTGCAAATTAATTTAATCTTTGTTCAATATCACGCAGTGTAATTATACCCTGAAAGGAAAGCTGAAATGAAGAGATTAGGCATCGATCCTTAAATCAAAAGTGCCCAATCTGGATTTCGAGATCAAGAGATCGGGATTATGAGTTCCCAAACAAAAGTTGCCAGCTCTGAAAATATTTTTTAATTCAATTGTTTCAGAAACTTTTAAACACTAAACATCTTTAACATAAACTCCATTTAGAGATAAAAGAGATTTAGAACCAGATGGTCCTTTAATTCGTGCTCACCTTAGAACGAATATCCGGCGGTAGATTTCCTACGTACACTCTTCGATCGTTTCCGTCATCTTTTGAGGACATGATGTCTGTAAACATTATTTCATGACATTGATTGTAAAAGTCAACAATATCATTCATTGTACAGAAAATAAATTCAAGTTAAAATTTTTCAAATTTTTACATACAACAGCTGTTGTTAGATTATAAAAGGTCCTGAATAATAATAATGCTATGCAATAATTGTTCATATTCAACGAGGGAATAATATTGTTCGTTGATTATTACACAGAACAGAATAGTTCTGTTAAAATAGCTGAACCATCCCTTTAATTTGATTGTATCACATAAATGCCACCGAGAGTAACAAGAGTCACTAAAATCACATGAGGTATAACAATATTAAAATCAGTGCTTAGGATCCGGATCCGGATCCGGATCCGCATCAAAATTAAATGGATCCTAAGCACTGATTAAAATAATTAGTTTTTTATTCTGTTCACAATTTTAACCAGAAGAAAACTAGCAAATGAACTTTTAAGTCTCATTTAAAATATCATAACTAAGTTTAGACCATAGACGGAGTAATGCTTGCTTGTACTCTGTAGTGTCAAGTGCAGTAGGCACCTCATAAGATTGGACAAAGAACTTCAAGACTTTCCAAATGGCCTATTCTGGATTCCAGAATTCCTATATGGCCTATTCTGGATTCCAGAATTCCTATATGGCCTATTCTGGATTCCAGAATTCATATATATTGCCTATTTTGGATTCCATTTTGGGATTTCATGAACGTCGAATTTATTTCATTTTCTTTCTGAAGCTTCCATCCTCAATTCTACCCGCAGTATCATTGAACCTCAGTTTTCTATTATCAAAAAAATTGTTATCTTTCAAAGTCTTTAAAGTTTTGTACATGAGTAAGTGTAGTATAGGAATCAAAATTAATTATTAAAATATTCATTTTTTTTTTTAAATTCCTAAGAACACAAATTAGTCCACGCACTGTTGCTTCTCCTGGATTTCGTTCTGTCCATTCCTACATAAAATAATATTTTCTCTGTCTCTGTCATGACCCTTTTAAAAGTAAACCCATCCTGAAAAGTAAACCTATCCTAAAAAGTAAATCTAAATCCTGAAAAGTAAACCTATCCTGAAAAGTAAACCTATGCTGAAATGTAAACCTATCCTGAAAAGTAAACCTATCCTGAAAAGTAAACCTAGATCCTGAAAAGTAAACTTATCCTGAAAAGTAAACCTATCCTGAAAAGTAAACCTAGATGCTGAAAAATAATCAAGATAATACTNCTGAAAAGTAAACCTATCCTGAAAAGTAAACCTATCCTGCCAAGTAAACCTATCCTGAAAACTACAAAATTGAAAACTCTATTTTAAAGGAAAACTTATAGAAAGGAAAACTAAGCAGATAAGGAAACATACCCGAATAAACTCTGAAATATGTTCATCATAATCCCGTCCATCTTGTCTGATTCTAGCCTTTATCACCGGAACCAAACTAGATAATCCAACCTGGTAAATAGAGGAAATGTGGTCAGATAATTTACAAAAAAGATTTTTTCTCAAGTGCCAAACAACTCTTTTTAAAAAGTCAATTATGTCTTTGAATTTAAGACTGCTAGCTTGGATGCTAGCTAGTACCACAAAAATTAACAATAAATAAGTTACTTATGTTATCTATTACAAAAGTGTATACAGTTGATAAATTTCCTCAGAAAAACTGGAATATTTTTAATACCTGATGTGCTAAGTTCTGCCATTTGGTCATTATCATTGGATTCCTTGAAACATACTCTATAATCTCCTGATATAATATGATAATAAATTTTAATGGGTGGACATATCTCACTTTTAATATACTTTTAAATGAGTTATAATCAAATTCCTCTGAAATTCCTTCCTCTTCTTCCCTTCTTCTCTTTTCACCAACCTTTAAAAAAAAATAAAGATAAATGAAAACAGTACTAAGAAAAACAATTTAAATTTCACTTCATGATATTTAAATAATTCATGTTGATATTTTTCCTTTCCAGTGATTGAAAAAAAAACAAATATGAATAAAACCTTTGTAAGTGCAGGCATCTCCTGAGTACTATGATCTGATTGACTTGAGAAAATTGATAGATCACTGCTGTGGAGTGGACTGGATCCGGATCTAGTTAACGAGGGACTTGCAGGGACTCGAGGACTTGAGCAGGGAGGGACTTGAGGACCTGAGCAGGAAGGGACTTGGGGACTTGAGCAGGGGGCCCGGGGGCTTGAGCAAGGCACTGATATATGATTGATACGGCTGTGAGGACTAGTTTCGGAAGAAGGACAAGGCCTGGATGAGGATGAGGATGAAAGAATGGATATGTTTGAAGGAGAGAATGGTGGCATGCCATTTTCTATGTGCTGGGATGAATTAAGGGATGGTTCAAGAAGAAGAGGGACCGAAGAATCACTACTTCTGATGGAGCAGAGAACATTAGTTGAGATAAATAAAATTCAGCTTTAATGAAGAATCCTTTAGAATTTCCACACAATCAAAAACCTGAGGTCTTAATTAAAAGGCAAACCATTTTATTCTATCTTCATAAACTGTAAAACTATTGAAATATGAAAATCAAAAATTGATTTATACACATATATGTGCTCGTTACTGCCATTCCTTAAGCGTGTACTGAGTGAACCTGAAGTTTGACTCATCTTAACTAAAAACAATTTTTTATAAAGAATTATTCAATTTTCAATCTGTTCATTAAATCTTCTACTGACCAGCAAACAAATCTCTGTCAGCTTGGACGACCGGCGTATTCTCTAGCTGGGTAGCGAGCCAATCATAATCAGACCTAAGCATTAGTACGTATTTAAAAAGGTAAGAAACTTAGCTTTGGTAAATTAAATTAGGTAAAATCTAAAAATGGTTTCGAGCTGGACCCAACTAGGATCTGGAGCTCTTTATATCAGGAAGAATTTAGTATCCGGATGGGGGCTGTTTTTAGAACGGAATGGATTACCTGAGATAGTCGATGAACCTGTCAAACACCTCCTCCTCGTCCTTCCCCTGCAGGATCTTCAGAAGCTCCTTAATCCTCCCCTCGTTCCTCATCTCATCCCTATATGCTTTTTAGAATTATTTCTGTAGAATTAGACTTAAAAGGATCGTTAAGATATTTTGGTAATGATGGAAATACAAATGACGATTTTAATCAAACATTTAGCAGGTTTTAATATTTTTAAATAAAAATTCAATACATTTAAGTCTGATATAGTCTGAGTTAATGCATTTCATGGTAGTTTTCTTTTCTGTCATATAATGTTAAGTTAATTTTATTTCTGATGATCAATAATTTTTATTTTCATCTGCTCATTTTTTAAAGACCCAATCTCGAAAAAAATTAATTTTTTTGCAAACCTTATTTTAGCATATTCGTCGCTAGATATTATTCGCATTTGTATAAGTGCAGGAGAGATGAGGTCAAAACTGAGGTCGTTACTTAAATCTTCTCTGCACTTATCAATCTTAATTTTCCAGTCCAATACGACCAGGCTGCGGCATTCGCGCATCTTGAAAATCTTAGTACAGGGTCATTTTTTAGTCTGAAAAGAATAGAATGAAGGTGATTACATCTGCAGTTTCACATCAACACAAACCAACAAAAATATCCCGTGAGGTTCTGTTGATTCTCCATCTTTTGTTTGTTCATCTGATTGTAGTTGATCAAACTACGTCCATTTAATCAGATTTAAATAATATTTGCGGGAGCTGATACAATTCTTTCAACTGTCAGTAAAATTTTCATCCACGGAAATACAACCTTAACATTAATAGTTTTTGTATTTAAATATTTCTACGGTTAAGTACAAATATAAAGAGACATAGGAAGAATTAAAAAATGTCGTATTCTTAACTTTCTGATAATGCTGCAGATAGTTAGTTTTTAACTAAATGATTATATGGAGCAATTAAAACTGTTCCCATATATTCATAACTGTTCAGATTTACGTATTAAAGTATAAAACCCATTCAAAATTATCAAAACGACATTTCATAAATTCTTTCCATTTCTCAAAATCTCTGTATCTCAGCATTTTAAAGAGAATTTGAACCTAACTAAAAATAAATAACATGCAGCTTTATCTAACGACCTCTTTATTTCCACAGCTTAAAGAAAATTATTTAAAAAAATACTTTTTTTGCCCAGGTTTCTTCAAATATATTGACTTATGATAACTACGCCGCACAGTGATTATGCCATTATTTACATCATTTATGAATTCCAGCTTTGAATTTATCTCAAAAATACCAAAAAGCCAATGCAGTTACTTTTCTGCAATGTGTCAATTCTAAAACAGTCCCTTTTGATAAAATAAAAAAAATTATCCACCTTTGATGAGTACTCCGTAAGGTTGGTCTCGAGGTGGAGGGATGAGAGGAGGAAGATGGGCTCCACCTTCTCCCCAGTACACATAGGGTAAACGCAGCACCCAGTAGCTTCCAATACTTAACCTACAGACCAAAAGATTATTAACACCTTTCCAAAAAGGAAATGTTCCAGGAATGGTTTTATAATCCAGCTGACAACAGTTTAACAATAACAAATAAAAAAAAGGAAAAAAAGGAGCTAAGAAATTATTTGTCAAGGTTTAGTTTTAAATACCTAGTAGGGGTATCCCAACCAGATACAAATACAGGTCCTCCAGCTACAGGCTGAACCTAACCAAGTAATTAATACAACATTTATCAAAAATAATATGTACCTTGTATTAACTTTATCTTTATTTTAATTTAAATGTACTCTATGCGTAATTTTAAGTAACTTTCCATGCAAAAAAGACAATGCCCGATCCAAAACGGTATCCTTCAAAAAGTTTTGTAATCAAGCATAAATTAGATTATATTTATAATTTTAAATATTTATTATTTTCAATTGTGGTTTCTCTACAAAAGAGACTTGTGCATTTCTACTACAGGAAACATAACAATTTAACACTGTTAAACCTACAAAAACGACAATATTTTAGTAATATTTATCAAATAATGAATGAAAGAATACTGGTTGAATTGGGCATTGTCATCTTTGCATAGAGGGTCACTTGAAATTACGCTTACTGTCCCTTTAAGTTGTTAAGATAAACTTGAACAAAATATACCTGAGGGAACAGGGTTATATAAACAGGAGCTTTTGGAGTAACAATATGAATCCTAAACAAACAAATACATTTTATAAACAAACCATCATTCCTTAGAAGAATATTTTATTAATCAACCGATTTTTTAAAAAGCATAAAATGCAATCTTACAAATAAAAACAACAACAATATAAAGCTTGAACATCAAAAATCAGCACCAAAAAAAGCGTCTTCATTGCAGAGCGTCTACAAATACAACAAAAAACAAATATTTGGACCGTAACAATGACAGAAAAAGCAACAACAGCTAAGAAAACAAACAAATAAATTTAGGTAAACAACATCAATGCATTACTAAAAAGAAATAACAAGGGAAAAAAATTCATAACAAAATAAATTACAAACTACTGCAACCATGGTATTTACAGTATAAAAACAGTAATCGACCTCATAAGTTGGGCAACTGGTGGAGACTTAGCCCTGCAAGGACAAGCCATGTACAGGGGCATATCACTAGTAACAAGACGCTGAGCAGCTTCGCGTAGCGTACTGGAGCTCTTCATTGGTTTATCAGGAGCAGATACCATAAACCTAGAAAATATACGTCAGGTTCAGCGTCTTAAACATGAACACAACGAACGCGAACGCAAACAACAACAACAAAAATAATGACAATGACAAAGACAAAAATAATGACAGAAACAAAAATAATGACAAAAACAAAAATAATGACAAAAACAAAAATAATGACGAAGACAGAGACAGAGACAGAGACAAAGTCAAGACAAAGACAAAGACAAAGACAAAGACAAAGACAAAGACATAGACAAAGACAAAGACAAAGTCAATAAAAATAATAATAAAAATAACCTAGACATAATTACCTATGCCCTCTAGGACATTCGTATTCAAACCCTAGAAAGACCTTAACCGTGATCTTTTCCTTCTGTTCGTCATTGAGCAGAGTTGCTCTCCTAGCAGCATACTCAAGTACATGACTCCACTTACTGGCCAGCTCTTCCTCAGTTGCCTATAAAACTTAAGTGCTAAGTATACAGTGTAGAGTGTAGAGTGCAGAGTGTAGAGTGTGGAGTGTTGAGTGTAGAGTGTACTGTACAGTGTACAAAATATACACCCGGATTCATTACGTTTAAAAATAGCTCCATGTTTTTCTATTATACATGCCTGAAAGGACGTAGAATTTTTTTCTGGAAGCTTTGGGCTTTCAACCCTCGGCATCTAAGACCTTATTCTGTAAATTACCTTTGTGAGTGGGACCTCCCAGGGCAGAAGGAACTTGGAGCTAGACATGAACCCTGGCATTGCTCCCAACCCAGCAGAGTGGGAGTAGGAGTGACTAGATCCCATCAGGATTAAACTCCAGGAGCTAAACTCAGGTTTCAAGCCTGAACAATTTTCATTATTTAACTATTGGAGCATAACTCTTGATTTAACAGTTTTGATTAAATTTCAGAGCTAAGTTTGGTTTCGAAAACATTTTGTCCTGGTGACACTCTGTCAACGAAACTCAATTCTTAAACTTTTGATAACGCTACACAATCGGGTAAATTCTGGTTTCAAATCTTAAATATTTTAATTTAGACTCCCGAAGCTCAACTAAGATTTTACACTTGAACAGTTTTCATGATTTAAATATGGGAGCAAAATTCTCGATTCAAAATCGAACTATATTTTTGAATTCCTGGAGCTGAACGTTATAACTATGCAATTTAGTTTATCAATCACTATTTTAAATAACATGACTGAAAATACTTGTCCATTTACAATTTTAGTTCAAATCGCTATTATTTTTAAGTCATGTTACATTCTCAATTCTTATTTATTTTATGACAAATGGACATTGAAAAAGTTCAAATTTTTAAATGTTAAACTCGCTAATATATGTTTTGAAATCGTTAAGTGAATTTGTGTTTCCGAAAACTCGCAAACATAATGGAGAAATCCCCGAAATACACACTAGTTGAATTAACACAATGAATTCTCGCATACCTTGTTTCCTATTTCTTCTCTTAAAGATGGTTATCACAGAGGACAAAGAAAAGGTAAAGAAAACCCGAACATTTTTTTTGTAACTAACACTGAATACTGTTCCATAAATATGTCTTTTAAATTTTTTAGACTTGCTTTAGAGGGATATGTTTCTTAGATGACTACCCTGTGGATAATATGAAGACTTTTTTCGCCAAGATAACCCTTGGTCAAATTGTGGACATTAATCTTGATCATAAAACTGTCACAGCGGAGGTTCAAATTGAAATTTCGTTTCTAGAAAGGATGATTGAAGCTAATGAAACTCGTGATGCTGATATAGAGCTTTCTTTGGACATATATAAAACACCGGAACTCGTAGAAATTTTTCCCACGAGGAAACGATTTGAACCAGCTTCTCCTTCCACCCAAAGAGTTCATGAATTGATCAAAGGCGAAGGAGCTATGATAACTGTTACGTTAAACAAAATAATTGAATTCTATTGTAAGGTGAACTTAAACATGTATCCTTTCCAAAGAGTTCGTTGCGAAATAGGGCTTTCGACTGTTAATGAAGGAGATGAAGTTAAAGTTTTGGAGCATCAACATATCAGGCTTGCAGACAACTTTGTGTTCCCATTGGCGACTGATTACGAAATCTATTATTATCCACATCTCCGGAGTCAATATAAACAGATATTATTAGATGGGAGAGAAGAGATTGAGAAACAATCAGCAATTGGTTTTTTGTTAGTTCTAAAATATCATTCGATGGAGGTCATCCTCATTTACTACCTTCCAGCCTTTATCATGGTTTGTCTGAGTCTACTGTCTTTTCTTATACCTTCGGCGCATTACTCATATAAAGTTATCCTTATACTGCTGTCCCTACTTAATCTAGAAAACCAGTTAATAGGCCTAAATAAGATATCTCCTAAAGGTGGGTCTGGACCTACAGCGGCAGCTGTCTATCTCTTAGGATGTACAATAACCTCCACTCTTTGTTTATGTCTCAATATTGTCGTGTTCAGGTGGAATAAGTATCCTTTCATCTTAAAAGAAGTTAATTTTTACTCTGGTTTGCTTAATCTTGTCACTTTTATTCTTTTTAATATTCTCTACTGGTCAGTCCTTATACCTAACATTCAGAAAACTGAATATTAAATACTTTAATTCATTATGACATGAATTTTATATTTTAGTTTACAGATTTCATTTAAATTGTGAAAGAAATAATCATTGTACTCTGTTTACCTTAGTTCTGTTAATTGTATAATTTTAGCAAAAATATATGTTAAAAAAATGAAGTTCGTTATCATTAAGATTTATTTTCAATCACAAACAAAAAATTTATTTAATATTCTGTAGAATATTTAAATTTAAATTTTAAATTTTTTTTTATTAATGAAAGCCCTAGTTAAGAGTGGGGGGGATTCTTGACCCTATATTTTCATTTTTATTGAGATTTATTATTGAAAATTATTGAAAATAAGGTTGAACTCGAAGGTCTTTAGAAACAAGTATGAAAATTTGATAAGTTAATAAGAAAATACTTCTCTATATTCATGATTTCATATTTATGGTGTCCTTGATAAAAAACTAAAGACTAAAGAGAAGTCATTGATTTGTATTATAGATGATAATGCTTTTAATTGAGCATAAAAGTAAAATATAATCAACTACCTGGATTAGATGTCAAAGTTTTCATGTGAGTTAAAAACTGAGTACTGCTCCTGCTTAGAAGACTCTCAACCTATAATTAAACAATTAAATCAAATTCATAATATTTTAAAATTGTTTAGTAATAGTTGTAAGCTTGCTCTGATATTAATGATCTACAATATATCTTTAATGGGCCGCTTACAGTCTTGGGAAACAATATAATTCTTAAAACTTTTGATGCGGGAATCTGACCTAACATTTTAAAACTGTAATCTCCACAATTATTCTAGGAAGTTTAAGGCTTGAATTTAACCAACTTTAAACCATGTTATCAGGGCTGGAAACTCTTGTATTGTGGATATCGAGATCAAGGCTTTTTTTGTTTTTGTTTCTGCAGATTAATTTAATCTTTATTTTATATCCTGAGTTCCTAAATTCAACCAATTTGCAGAAAACGCAAATCAGAAGCCGGAAAATTTGGCGCGCAATTAATGCGAGACTTTCATTAGTCGGAACCCGGCAGTGATATCCAAAAGGAAGGATTAAGCAGAAAATTAAGTGTCCACAATGGATATCGAGATTTAACGAATGGAATTAATAGTATCCAGCATGCACAAGAGTTTCCAGCTTAGTTTACTTAAGGAGATCTACCAATCTATTATCTACAGACTACAGAGAGAGAAGAAAAATTGTCAATGTTTACCTGGGACAACCTCAGATGTTCGAACATAAATAATAAAGTTGGAATATTTTCAAGCCCAAAGTAAGCCCCTTAAAAAAAATCTTCTAAGCTCTCTGTTACAAGATTTATTTCTGAAGATTTGTATCATCTAACACCTTATGGTGCTCCAGGTACACAATGTACAATGGACATTGATGTTACCTTGGCTGTTTGATTTGTCTGAGCTCCATCTATATGTATGTTCTCTAGAACCTCAAGGATAAAATCAGTTTCATCTTGTATAGTTGGAGTACATGAAGATCGAGAACTTGTCTCTCCTAAAACAGGTTAATCATGTAATAGGGTGTATTAAGACATTATGGAAGGAAATTTAGAACGCATCAAAGATGAATTAGTAAATGGTTGATTTATATGTTTTTTTCCTCTCGTCCGATAATGGCGTAAGAAGTTAAAATAGATTACGAACGTATTGCAATCGTTAATGATTTAAAAATCATATGTAAATTTAAGTGCATAAAAAATATCAGTTAATTGATCTATCGTAGAAAAGCACATTTAAAATTTCTTTTATTTATCTAAATTGAGAGAAGCTAAAAGTAAAAACTGAGAATCTTGGCTTTCAACTATAGAAAGTTAGTCTAGACTAGACAAAAAGGAAAGTCAAAAATGTACAGTTGTACCTTCCATTAGAGAACTAAGAGCAGGGTTTGTGAGTCCTGGTTCAGAACCCTCCAGGCCTTCATCAGCAACATCATCAACATCATCAACAACTTCGACACTTCCAACACCAGATACGTCAAATGTATCACCAGAAGCAGATTCATTTATAGAATCTTTAATTTCAGAATCTAATGCAGAAGATTTGTTATCAGTAAAATTAGATTTTGGAGCACCTTCAATTGGCAGCTCATTAACATCCCCCAACTCCTGATCCTTTTCATGAACCTTCTCCTGCTCTTCAACCTCCACCAGTTTATCCTCCTTTTGATCCAGCTCGAACTTACTTTGCCCAAGCTTGAATGCCTTAAGTAATTTTGCAGTTTCCATCACGTCGGAGTTTTCCTTGCCTTGACTTAAAACCTCATCTCTATGGTAAAGATCATCAGCATGCTTTGTGTCATCAACCATGTGTGTGGTTTCAAGTAACTAGAAAAATTAAATTTAAATCTCACTAGGACCGATTGAGAGAAGACAGACCAGTTTATTAGTTTTAATTCTTTTTATATTAGTATTACTTAAACTTCAGAAAAGTAGTGCCAAACATCTGCAATGCATGGTTTGGCTCCATGTCCATAGAATATAAAATAAAGTTGAATTACATTAAATTTCTTAAGAAACTAACCTCTGATGAAATATGACTAGAAAAGACAGGGAAAGGAATGTGTTCCAAATCCTGAAAATCATAGTTCCTAATTAGAGAAATACTAACAACATATATAAGACTATGTAGATTAAAATTTAAATACAGAACTTTTTATTTTGAAAATGTGCACATAATTTACCTTTCTGAAATGCCTGATTGATGTGCTGGTTCAAAAAGTTAGCAAAACCTCGACGGCTTTGGTTTTCTTCAACCTCAAACTGAACAAAACCTGTAGTGGTTCCTGTCCAGGAAGAACATGTTTCCTAAAAATGCATTCAACTTATCATTTATCTAAAACAAAGATAATGGTGGGGTGGGGTGGGGGGGGTCATTTATTTAAATAACATCATTATTAAAGATAAAGTCAAGATAAGTTTCCTGTTAGAGCAGAGGTTTCCGGTCAGACTGATCTCTTCACACCTCATTCGCCCATTCCGCCAAATATCAGTACACTCCGCCGCTAGTTTCTCACCAAACCTCTCCGCCGCAGGGCCCCTCGCCTGGGCGGACAAAAACATATTAACACAAAAATGGAGTTAATTTCAGTTAATCTTTTTCATGATTTACAACCTCGAGAAAGCTAGACTTAGATTCAAGAGATAAAAATATATGAATGAGATAAAAAGGGGTTACGACAAGGCTGGTTTAACTACTGCTTCTAGGTAGTTCAGAATTTTCATTGGCTAAAACATTACTTGCATGATTTTCTGATCTTCTAATGGTTTATGAAACATGTAAGTAGATTTAAAAACAACAGCATTCAATGACTTCCAAAACTATTTAGATTTAACTACTAGTTGAGCAAGGTAAACGTATTTATAAGCTTCCAACATAGACAAATCAACGTGATGAGCCACATCACCTTGGATTACTAAAAATCGAATAAAAAAACTTCAGCAATGTTGTTTATATTGTACCCGATGATGGTTGGAAGAATGTCGTTAAATATTTGCTTATTACCTGCATACTAAATACAGAGAGTGCTTGTAGAAGTTTAGCGTTATGATATTCTGCATTGAAGAAAGGAGGTAAACCCTCTTCATAAACAGATACAGCCTGAGGTAGAATTTTCTTACACCTGTAAATAAAAAAGGATTAAAGACATGAATTATTTCCTGCTAGATTAAAAAAATTATAGTAATACTGTGTCAGGTATAAAAGGTGGACCTGAGTTCTGAGAAAATGGTTTCTATCTCCAAATCATCACGAAGATCACACATGGCGTGGGAATTATCAAATCCTTAATACAAATTACATTCTTAAAGCAATGTTTAATCCCTACCCCTGTGATAAAAAATCATTACCCACCCCCTCTTTTTCTGCTAAAATGCTTCACCAAATTTACAAAACCCCAAAGCCTTTACAGTTGTACGGTGTTGTTTTGTTATATATGTGAGCACAGAACTTGCCATAAAAGAACAAATTTATTCCAGGACATTTTTGACAAATAATTAGCTTTGACGATTCTGGGTTAATATGACATACCTTCTGCAGAAGTTAAAGTTTCGGTAAAAAACTTAAAGAGACAATCAGCCACCTAAATAGTTAATATTCAACATTTGACTTTCAAATCAAATTTAACATTAAACATTACAATAATTAAGTTGCTTCTATCACATGTTCTCACGAGTTACTTGAGGGGTTAACCCTTTAAAGGCTTCTTGCATGAAACTTACGACCACAAACCTTTTACCTGGATCCAATGTGAGAGCGTGGGAATCTCCCAAAGACTGGGAACACCGCCAGAGTTATACTTACTCACGTTGTCATAGAAACCTATAGATTAACAATTTATTCTAAATTAAATGTAAAACTTCAAAGTCAAGTCCGGCTTTCACTTGCAGACACAATTTACTTGAAAGTTGAATTGCTTGGTATTAACTAAATTTGTTTCCAGAAGGGGGACGGGGGGATCGAAATAAGATATCAGATGAAAAATCGTTTATTTCTATCGCCAAACTCCTACTCCTACTCCTACTCCTACTCCTACTCCTACTCCTACTCCTGATCCTGATCCTGATCCTGATCCTGATCCTGATCCTGATCCTGATCCTGATCCTGATCCTGAGCCTGATCCTGATCCTAATTTCCAATTATTTTGAAAAATTTAAAGGTTGAAAACTGATAAGAATTTACCTTTCTGAAATGCCTGATTGATGTGCTGGTTCAAAAAGTTAGCAAAACCTCGACGGCTTTGGTTTTCTTCAACCTCAAACTGAACAAATCAACATTATTTTTTCGCGTTACAATTATTAAGATCTAAAGAAGATTTATTTGTATATGACGAAATATCAATTTATGAATAGATTAAAATAATGATTTGATTGGTCGGTTAATTGATTAATTTATTCACGTACCTGGGAGTAGAAAGGTCCTGAGAACATGAACTGGTCCTTAGTCTCCCCGTTTATGAAGGAGTAGCAGGTGTTCATCATTGCAGTACAGGGGTCCATCTTACATCCAGACTCCCCTGTAAAAGATTAAGTACAAAAAGATTACTTAAATTTCCCAGAACATAATTTTCACGGTTCTGATTTTAAGAAAAAAAAACGGATTAGGATATATACAAGAGAAAAATAAAAGTGAAATAAATGCCTTCTTTTGAAAAGTTAAATTTCTATAAAATGAACTAATAAAGAACACTTAAAAAAGAAAACAATTTTTAGGTTAATTAAATTTTATTTAAAACAACTCATCAACTAAATGTACTCGAAGGTCTCTAAATAGTGAAGAAAATGGTACCTGTTTCAACGTACACAAACTCAGAGTTGGACGGAAGCGCAAAAAGTGAGTTTGCCGCAATGTTTGTTATTATTCTGTGCCAAAATTTTTTAAGGTTTAGAATACATTTAATAAAAATGGCATTAAAAAATGGGACCATGATCACCGAAAAATCTGAAAATCCAGTAAGTCATTTAAAAATTTCCTAGATTTTCTGAATATTCTGTAGATCTGATCCTCAAGAGAGATTTCAAGACGTTTAATTGGAGGATTCTTGTTTGGCTTCGTATCTTTCCGGTCATCTCTAGAAACAAATGAGAAATGATAAATAATAGTAATAATAACAATAACAATAACAATAACAATAACAATAACAATAACAATAACAATACCAATAACAATAAAAATAACATTAACAATAACAATAACAATTCTCATTCTCATTCTCATCTCAGTATGTTACAGTATGTTACAGTATGCTACAGTATGCTACAGTACGCTAAAGTATGCTACAGTATGATACAGTATCCTACAGTATATTACAGTATGTTACAGCATGTTACAATATGCTACAGTATGCTACAGTATGTTACAGTATGCTACAGTATGCTACAGTATGCTACAGTATGCTACAGTATGCTAAAGTATGTTAAAGTATGTTACAGTATTTTACAGTATGCTACAGTATGTTACAGTAGTTACAGTAGTTATAGAAGTTACAGTATTTACAGTAGTTACGGTAATTACAGTATTTACAGTAGTTACAGAAATTACAGATTACAGTATTTACAATAGTTACGGTAGTTACAGAAATTACAGTATTTACAGTATTTACATTTTAACCATTATTATCATTATTATCGTCAAATTATCATGTTCTGTAGGCTATTTTACGTCATACCATTGCCCAATTGTTTTGCTTCTAGTCTCTTACCCTTGTCTGTTTGGGTTTTAGTGAATCATATATACAAGTTTAAGCAAAACCTAAAAACCTAAAAACCTTCTTCATGAACTTTTTCCAACTAAAGGGTTCTTTGCTACGAAAAACGCTAAATAAGCAACACCCTCCCCTCCCCCAACCTACCGTTATTTTTCCTTCCTAGCAGTGTAATAATTTTAAATACTTTCCTATGATTCATGCCATTTCTTGTCATAGACAGACTGGAGATATAATACAAGTATTATCTATACCTGAATCCTCTTGTTCCTCTAAGGGATATTGGTGCGGAGAGGAAGAGAAAAAGGACCCTTGGAGAACCAAGTCGACCCTGCTTTATCCAATCCTTATATATCAACAATAAATATTTACATTTTCTTCCTTTGAGTTTTGTCATATACAAAATGGAAGCATGGCTTAAATTTGGCCGTGCTGCTGTGATCTTTACAACAGTAATGATTTCCAATTCAAAAATTTTAAATATAAACTTACGCAAACCAATAAAAAGTTTAAAAGAAAAAGATCAGGTTGAAAACAGAATATGGGAGGGAATTGAAACTCCGTCTCATAGGAAGGATGACTCAAGAAATCTCTGCAAAGAATGATTTGATTTAATATTATACAAAACAATGTCCTAAAAACCCTTAATTAATGTTCAAGAATTGTTAAAAACAGAGTTATAGTTATTTAGTAAAAGTATTTTCTTTTGCGGAGTACAGTTAGGAGTATCAGTTTTTTATGATTGGAAAAAAATCTGCATTAAACCTTAAATGCTGAGTGTTTTCAAAAAATGATCAGGCAGAATCCGAATCAAATATGGATTTGATCGCTATAAATTTTTATTTTATGATATAAAAATTTCGATTTTTTAGCCTATGTTACTCCCCGAGCACCCATGGGTTCCCTAAAAAATGTCAGCCCATTTGGTCCAGCCCTTTGGCCACTACAGCTAACATACAAACAAATATATATGAACGAAGAGGTAAAACAAGATAAAAATATTATGACATATTAACTACTTTAAAATGAACTGAATAAAATCTAGAATTTATGTATATGACATTTAAAAGATCTGTTGTAAATATAATATTTTTTATTTACGGTTTGAGTGGTATCAAATCAAATCAAATCAAATCATAAGTTGCAGGGATGGCCTAAGACTCCAGTAGGGGATTGGAGTTTCAAGTCCTCCCCATTCCTGGTTTTTCAGCCCGGTCTTCTGTTTATAAGATAAATATACTTTTAATGATACTTTTTATTTACTTTGTAATTGCAAAGCGCCCAGCCACACGACCAAATTTGAGCCACGCCCACTTTAGAATACCTAACATCCAGGGATTGCTACACAGTTTATTAAGTTTGGATGTTGGGTATTTCCCTAGCGAGTTTTACCGTTTTTGTTCATAGGATCTAATTTTTAAGTTGTTTAATCCAGTTAATTATTAATCCAGTTAAATATTCATATTTAAATATGATTTGATTTGGTTTCTAGTTTTGTTAATTACTTTATCTTTGCAACTTATTGAATTTACATCTATCTAGTATGACTCCCCAAATAACACAAGTGTTACCAGGAAACCACCCCTCCCTTTCTAATAATAGACGCTATAAATAGAAGTAAAATTAGTAGTGATCGAATCCAAATTTGATTCCACCCCCTTTCCTTTTCCGCAAACACCCACTTTAGCAATATCAAAATTCTGTTAGGAGTATGTACTATTTATCTCATAAATAATCAACTATTATCATTGCATAACATGAAGCTTTTTATTTGCCAATAGTGAATTATAAACATAATAATTTGAAAATGTTTACCCTGTTTAAGCCTGGAATATCTCGAATCTGTTTTGCCACTGCACCCTGTAAAGAAAAAAACAACTTTTTTTTAGAATCCCATTCAAGGTGAACAATTAGTCTTTTAGGAGAAAAAAAGCATTTCTATACAATCATTATTTGATAAAAAACAGGGAGACAATTTTTATGAGGTTGAAAGAGAAAAGAGAAAGGGTAAGAGTATCCAATTTTCCGCCAGAATTTTTTCCGGCGGAAATTATAATTACCGGAAAAGATGAATCGGAAAACGGAATTCCGATAATTTTCCGTCACGGAAATTTCCACAGGAAGCCGGAAATTCCTGAAAATTTTTCGCCGTAAAAGTTTTTGTTTCGGCCGGAAATTCCGCCGGGAAAGGGGTTTTCAGAAACCTTTTCCACAGGAAAAAAGTTAATACTCTAGGAAGGAAGGGTTTAACAAATATTTCTAATTTTCTATCAATTAATCTCGTCTCGCCTGAAGTTTGTTGCGAAGATTGTCCAAGGACTTGAACAGATGGACATAGGATATATCCACAGTATGACCAGGCTATAACAAGGAAGATAAATCAATAAGTCAAGCATTAAAGGGACTGCAAGCGTGAACCTTATTGCAGAAATGGCAAAGCCCGATGCGATCCCAACGATGCTCTTGAAACCTCAAGATTGAGGAGGATAATGTTTAAAAGCGTTTACACCTGGCAATTTCTGCAACATGACACTTTGAAGAGAAACCACAATTTAAAACACTTAGTTTTCAATCTTATAAACATTGATATCCAATTCGTGCTTGATCAGGCAAAGCTTCTAAGGGTACCGTTGTGAATCGGACCTTGTGATCTTTGCATTGAGGGTCACTTGAAATTAAGCTTACAGTCCCTTTAAGCAATCAATCGATGAAAAAATCTAATCCACTGGTTTACCAAATATTCAAAATTATGCCATTTAATCAAAATAAATTTGTTAAAATCCAAACAAGAATAAATAAATAAGAAATGAATAAATACCTGAACACACACCAGAATGTGGGAAACCTTATACGATAAATCTTCATCATCTCAATTAAATAACCATGTGATAAAATAAACAAAAAACATACTGGTGAAATATAAATATACTGTTGAGATGTTAATATTCATCCCTGGAATAGGAAAAGAAGAGCTTTAGCATACTCATAACGTTTACTAGACCAGAAGCTTAGTAATCCCTTACTCAGTAATCCTTCCTCAAACCTCTAGAAATATTAATCCTTTAAATTCTTTCATTAAACCTCTAGAAATATCAATCCTTTAAATTCTTTCATTAAACCTCAAAAAATATCAATCCTTTAAATCCTTTCATCAAACCTCTACAAATATTAATCCTTTAAATCCTTTCATCAAACCTATAGAAATATTAATCCTTTAAATCCTTCCTCCTAAAACCTCCAGAAATATTAATCCTTTAAATCCTTTCATCAAACCTCCATGTGATCGATTCATAAAATCCTCCATGAAACCTCCATCATTACTAATAAATTAAATCCTTTCATTAATTAAATCCAAAGTGATAGATTCTTTTAAACCCTCAATAATTACTAATTCATTGAATCCTTCCGTGATTACTAATTTATTAAATCCTCCCTGAAACCTCCATGATTACTAATAATCCTCCCTGAAACCTCCAAGATTAATAATTTATTAAATCCTCCCTGAAACCTCCATGATTACTAATACATTAAATCCTCTCTGAAACCTCCATGATTACTAATCCATTAAATCCTTCCTGAAACCTCCATGATTACTAATACATTAAATCCTCACTGAAACCTCCATGATTACTAATACATTAAATCCTCCCTGAAACCTCCATGATTACTAATCCATTAAATCCTCCCTGAAACCTCCATGAATACTAATCCACTAAATCCTCCCTGAAATCTCCATGATTACTAATACATTAAATCATCCCTAAAACCTCCATGATGACTAATACATTAAATCCTCACTGAAACCACTAGAAATTTATTAACTTATCTATCTATTTATCCATTAATTGTGTATATTACCTTACACTTCTCCGCCATAGTGAATGCGTCCATGCAGCTGCGCATGTGCAGGAACACCACATCTCTATCCTTGTCTACTGTCATCTCAATCTCAGATCTAATTCCACCATAATTAACATCAAAGCAAATCAAATCATAATGATAGGGATGTCCTGCCGACTTTACACCAAAATTGAGATGAAATTTTAAATCAAAAATAAAGAGCGGTAATACAGTTTATAGATGTTTTCATACAGCGTCATATTAGAACATTGTCAGAATATGTTGGATATCATATTTAATTTTGAAAATCTGGATCTGTGACTAAATCAGATTCAATTTAGCGACTATACATTACATTTGAAACTAAACGGACTATCTTTTCCGGTGTCAAAAATAAACTGATCTCAGATATATACACTATACGGAATAAGAAGATATCCAAGGTTGATAGCTCCACTCAAACTTAAACCATGCAAATGATTATGATATTATTTCCTATCCGATCCTTCACTACTGGAGTAATCTGATCCTCCCGTACATTCATCAATGTACAGACCTGTGCTTGATACTAGGCTCAGCACAGGGGGGGAGGGGTGTAAAAGAGGAAAGGCTAAAAATAAAGGCTGCAAAGAGAAAGAACAAAAAGCCATTTGTTGATCACAAAACCAGGAATGTGAAAGACATAATTGGTAAATAGAATATTTCATATTGTAAATGTTTCTCACTCTTGATGAAGTATTCTGGTATTTTTGTAAAGAAATCAGGATACACTAATGATCATAAAACTGAAGGTACAGAAAGCGACCAAAGGAGGATAAGAGGTGGTTGCGACGCAACATAAATAAATAAGAGACGAGTAACGGAACAGTTATTGATGTGGGAAAAACTAGACAATTAAAAGAAACATGAATTTAAAGCTAGTCTTTCCTTTATTTGATCTGGCTGAATAAGCAGTTTTCCCAAAGAATGAAACCACTTAAAAATTCCAGCATTTAACGATTATTGAAAAAACTATCAGGTTTGGCAATCTAGGTTTTAGCGATCAAAAACGATTACCATTAATTCCGTGCACCAGGACTAACACATTTCTTCTTTTCATTCGACAAGAAACAGAGGCAAATTCAGAAAAAAATGGCATTGAAAAATAAGGTCATTTAAACAGTTTGCTGGAAATTCAACCTAAAAATTTTCTCTCCTTCAAAGCTTCTTCAATATCATCCACTTGCAGTTTAAGCGGAAATTTCCGCTTTTTCCAATCCATAGTTCTGAAAAAAAGAAATAGCTTTATAACAACATGTATAGTGTAAACTGAAATCATCAGAAAGAAGATTGGCGAAAAACATGTTTCAAGTAACCACAATGGGAACTATGCTGGGTTCACTATACTGACTGGAGCCAAAGCTTTCACCATCTGACGTAGATATCTCCGATCAAAGTCGTCCCACTCATCATAAACCTTAATTAGAATTATTAATATTTTAATTATGAATTATTTTTGTTTTTCAGTTTTGTAAACAAACATGTTCTCAAGCATGCACAGTCGTACAATTTAATTCCTTACCTTGCAGTACTCTAGCAGCTGTTGAACTGAGTACACGATAACCCCGCCTGGAAGATGTGGCAGTAAAATAACCAGTAAGTTCACCGGCAGCTGCTCCGTGACAGCCTTATGCAACAGCTTCGGGGACAACTGTTGAATAAAAGCGGTCAGAGGTGTTAGTAAGGTTGTGCAGGTGATTTCAAGTTCTCGGAAAGAGTTCATTTCTCCCTAAATTAAAAAAATGTAGTTATAAGAGACAACAAGATATGCAAATCAATACCAATAATGCAGTAACATTGACTGACCTTGTCAAATGCTTTATCTGTGTCCAGGTCTGCTCCCCCTTGCTGGTCTGTGTCTAGCATATACTTCAGTATGTTCCCAAGAACCACCAGAACGACGGCGGCGGGCCATTGTTTACCAACACAGCGATAACATTGATTAATTAAAGATGTTGCAGTCAATTCCTCACTAAATTCTTCTCCTGAAATCAAATTGTAATAGAACGATTAAAATATGAAAAAGATATCTTTATTACCTGTCAAGTTTTTATTAATGCTAATACAGACATTCCTTATCTCATCCTCGTCATCATGAATAAAATCTAAAATAACCAATTATAAAAATGTCCCCACAATCCAAATTTGTTTCAACAACTTCTAATTCCAATAGTTATTACCTATGAGACAAGACCACATGACCACAAATGCTATTCGTTCTTCATGGTCAAGCCTAGAGTTAGAAACTAACAGACTTGTATTTGCCTAAATGAAAATATGTTATTCTTACTTTTATTGGGTTACTTTTGATAAAAATCTAGACTTTATATCACTTTTTATGCATTACGAAATTTTACCTTTAAAGCTTTAACCACTGAATATCTGACTACAGAACTCTGTTCTACGCAACTCAGCCGCTTTAATATTTCTGCGTAATCAAGTTTTTGACGCGGCAATGCGCCGGGATCTTCTAAACCATTCACGTGAGGTCCACTGGAGAGAAAAGTGATCAGTTTCCCCGCCAGTTCTACACCAGCACTTAGAATACCATCACACTGGGAGACCTAGCAAAATACATACATAACACATATTGATTAGGATTTCTGATGTCTTTTACTTATTTACAAACATCTGAAATGTCTAGCAAAGTAAAACGTTCAGTTCCCATGATTACTAATNGAACTAGTGTAAAATCTAAACCTAAACCAAGGATAGAACTAGTGTAAAATCTAAACCTGAACTAAGGATAGAACTAGAGTAAGATCTGACTGCTGGTAGGTTAAAGTTGGAAGATAAAAACAGACCTCCAATAGCAAAGAAATACACGTGTCCTAAAACAAAATATGCGTAGTCTTAGAAAAATTAAAATACAGATTTCAAACAAAACTAATTCACAAATATATGATCAAAAATAAAGTTTTTTCTGAAACTGGAATAAGAAACTATTCAAAAATCAATAATAAATACTTTTAATAGTATACCTTGGTTTCACAGAAAATAATGTTTCTGATATCTGCCATATTCAGTGTACTTTCACCTCCATTAACTTAAATATTTTTAAATTATTTTTTTTCTCCAGTTTTTGTGCAATATAATTATTTTTCTTATACCTAAATAGTAAATATTGTTTTTAATAAAAGAATACTATAACTAGTCTAGTAAATGTTTATATAACTAGATATTTTTTACAGTTTAGTCTAGCTCCTATATGTACCTAGATACTGTTTATACAGTTGAAGGGATACTAGTCTAACTTCTATCTCTTGATGAAGGAATAGTTTAAGAAGAAGACCGGATTCAGCGCTCACAAAACTTCGGTTCACCAGAAATTCAGCGGCAGCCTGAACAAAGAACATTTAAATTATTATTTTATTAAAGGGAGTGTTCGCGAAAAATGAAAGGGAGTATAGGCTTAATGCGATAAAAAAGCTCTTTTGATCGCTACTTATCTTACTTCTATCTGTTGCGTCTATAAGGAGAAAATTGTTAAAGACGTCTCATACCGAATAACTTAGCGCCCATACAAATTCAGAAAATTGCAACATACAACTTAGACCGTAAAAAAATCAATTTAATTTTAAACAAATCATTTAGATATTACAACCTATAGTCATCGATTACCTTTCGCCACATTTTTATATAGTTTATATTTTATAATATTTTTAAATTAATTTGTTTTGAATTTGATTTTCTCTTGTCGCTTGCGCAACTATCTAAGAATGCCGCGCACCACTCACATTTTTCGAAATCCGTTAAAACGTTTTCTAAAAATATTATAAAATATAAACTATACACAAATGAGGCGAAAGATAATCGATGATCGTATGTTGCAATTTTCTGAATTTGTATGGGCGCTAAGTTATTCGGTATGAGATGCCTTTAACAATTTTCTCCTTATAGACGCAACAGATAGAAGTAAAATTAGTAGCGATCAAAAGCGTTTTTTTTATCACATTAAGCCTATACCCCCTTTCATTTTTCGCGAACACTCCCTTTAATCATATAAGTCAATTATATTAAAAAAAATTCAATTGACTTTTACACTATATTAAAATATACACCATTGAGCAATGGTCATAATACAAGCTGAAAAAAAAGTATTTTTGTATTTTTTAAGAATCTTAAGTAACCTTAAAAAAGAGTGGTTTCCACAAGCTGAGGGAAGGATCTGAATTAGAAACTTTCATGTCTTCAGCTTTCTCAGAAACCTCCAAAATATTGGAATCCACTGAAGCATCCCCAACGTCCGAATTATATGTCATTCTTTCCTCCGAGGACAGATTACTATTCAACTCAATCCTTTCGTCAAAAAGCTTCTCCCTTAGAATATTTTCAAGAGGTTCTACGTTCTCAATATTGGTATCATTCTGCATGTTAACAAGGATCAAGTACTCTGCCGAGATGAGAAGACAGGTATTCCTCCTGAGCATGATATCTACCAGATCAGGGTTGGAGACACTAAGGGCTGGGCAAGATTTTTTTATCTGAACCAGCTGAAGGAGAAAACCATGTAATTGGTTTGTGGTCAGAGCAGAGTTTAGTATTTTCTTTACTATCTTCTCTCCGTACTCAACTAAAGAAAACAATTAAATTGAAAGATATATTTGTTTCTTTTACTAACTAAAAAACTGCAAAAACCAAAACCATTTCATCCTTTCATACTGTACCTAGATCATGAATATTTTTTTATTTAAGTTATTTTTGAAAAAATATAATCTGTCATTACAATACCTTTTAGTTGGTTAATTCTTTAAAAAAACACGATGATATTTGTTTTGTTGCATTTTTCAGCTTTTTAGTGTTTTTTTCTTATGATGGCATTAACTACTATGAAACTTTTGCACATAGTTTTGTAAATAACTTTTAAAAATTCGAAAAGTGTTAATATAAAAGGTAAAAGAAAAAGGTCCAGAGGTAAAAATTATAAAAAAATAAAGCAATATTTATTGGCAGACTATCTTGCACATCAAAAACGTTTCCGACGATTTTAGTGGAGCATCTAAATTAAATCAAATCATAATTTAAGCCATGTCCAACTTAAGAATACCCATCATTCAAGAGTTGCCAGTCAAGAGTTTTCAGTTTGAATGATGAGTATTTCCCTAGTGAGTTATAAAGAGCCGTTTTTACTTAGTATTGTATGATTTTTTAATGAAAACTAGTATTTTACATTTGATAATTGCTATAATTTTGACACAAGTTTTAATTTGGGTTGGGTATCAATCAAGTCTGATCTAGTCTAGTTGTTATTTTGTTTCCAATCAAGACCAAGCTGTTAATTTCTTTGGAGGGTTCCAGTGCTCTTTTATTCAATTAACTTTGACTGTGTGATAGGGGTCAAAACATTATCTCAGAATTATCATGATAATTAACCAATTCTGTCATTTACAATATAAATTAATTATCTCATGTATAACGTACTCTACAGTATTAAAGGCGCATGCATAAAAACATAATTATGTCCTAAATTTATTTATAAATAACTCTAGTAATGTCTAAGCTAAAAATTTATCAAGTCTAGTCAAGAATCTTCAAGGACATGAAATGTTTAAAATTCATAATGTAAATCAAGTATAAAAGTGTGCTCTGCAAAGTGCTAAGCAGTAATAATCAAGTCATAGCTAAGCCAAGAATTAGATGAAGTCAAGTTAAATCAAGTATGAAAGGTGCTCTGCACAAGTGAAAAAAAGAATTAAAAACGATGTCTAACTCTATTTCTCACCTAGATTCTCTGGTGGTATGAGCGGAACAAGTGCCCGAGCAGCAAGTTTCCTAATTGCCAATATTGGACTTCCAGAACACTCATCCACACACGGTATAAAGGAGGAGAGCTTAAAGGGATTGTTCATGGATTCAGACGGAGACGGGAAGACTCTGGAGAGAATGAGTAGAACTGGGTATAGAGCTGGTTGGAGGTGAAGTGTACCGGAGATAGCTTGAACCCGGTCCAGTTTACTCAACAGGAAAGAGTGCAAGGACGGATATCTTTGGAAGAAAACTTTTCCCGTCAAACAATTCTTTCCGGAGAGTTCACTTGAATCCTTCTCTCGTTTTACGCCAAATATTCGAGTAATTAAAGCACTAAATCATAAAATATAACGTTGAAAGGTTTCTAAACGTATTTTACAAAAATCTTAATGATAAACTTGATAGCACATACAAAACATATCATCACAGAACATATCAAACAAAACCTATTTAATCAAAACTTATCTCCTACAAAACATATTGTGACAAAACATATCAAGAAATAAAATATATTTACAACGAAACATAAAACACCCCAAAACCTATCAATAACAAACCTATCGGATACCAAACGTATGTCTGATTTTATTTTAAACATCAACATAACATATCAAAATTTTATTTAGAAGTGAAAATTAATTACAGTTCAAGATGCCTAGTTTTGATATGTTTTGATTTGAAAGGTTTTTTTTTCATATATTTTATAATTTGATATGTTTTGTATTTTGACATGTTTAGTTGTTGGATAAGTTATGTTTTAGATATGTTTAAATCTTAAAGGTTTTGTTTTAACATGTTACGTTGAGTTATGTTCTGTAATGCAATGTTTGTATGTGCTTCTAAACTTGACACCTACAATGAAAGCGTTTTGTTGGCCAATGTTATGAAGTCGGTCCTGTTAAGACCAATGTATATACCAATCCCCGGAGCTAGGACCAGCTAGGGGGTCCTAGGGTTGCGGCCGTGAAATTAATAATAATGTATTCAAGAAAACTTTCTTTGTATGGGACGCGATTTTGATCTTTTCAGAAATTTTCAGAAATATCTTCAACAGAAGATAGAACCTCAAGAATATCGCGGCCACTCAAAATAACATAACAAGTTCCTAAGAAAAAATCTGAAATAGTTTAACCTGAAAAGAAGAGTTCCCGAATTTCTCTCTGCCCAGCTAGATGCTTCAAAACCATTGATAGAAACCTTAATTCCGTCCTCCACATAACCTACAGATACATTTACCAATAATACCATCCGATATTTTCGTAAAATATATTAAATTTGAAATAAACTTGCTAGAACCGATTGAATTATTACAGCTTAGGAATAAAAACTATGTTAAAAATTGCTTTTTGAAATAAATAAATAGTTCCACCTGCAACAGAGTCAGCTAATCTTGTATCCCTGAAGAGTGCTCTCAGGATATTACACGCATGAACCCTGAACTTCTCTTCAGCAGAACCATCTCTTGCTAGATCTACTCAGTAGTATCATCTATTCAGATATTTTTCTTTGTTTGCCAAACGACTGAAATGTTGAAACGACTGAACCGAGTGGACTGATGGGATGTTTTTGTCAATTCAGAATAAAAAATATGCCTTTATTCATTCCAACATTTAGTTATTAAGAATTAATAGAAAATCGTCGAAAATATTTAACAAATTGCAGCTTAAAAACAGAAGAAGTTGGATCAGTTTTCTAAAATCACCGATTCAAATCCTTCCTGAAGCTTTAACCTTAAATCAGTGGTTCAAATTTAAACCGGCAGTGGGTAGTTCGGCGACGAAGCTCAATTTTTCTTAATGCAGCCCTAGATGTTTTATGTGATAGTTTTATATTTGTAACAATAGCTCAAACATACTCCTTTCTGTTATGTTTGTAAAGTATTTTTATAAATGATAATATTCCTATTAGTTTATCCATTGCTCCCTTGAATACTGGACTAGAGGGATCAGGTTCTGTGCTAACTATTGCCTAAATACAGATATATTAAAGGGAGAGTCTAACCAAATAAATTCTGAAGGGTCTAACCACATATATTCTAAAGGGAGAGTCTAACCACATATATTCTAAAGGGAGAGTCTAACCACATATATTCTGAAGGGAGAGTCTGGCCACATATATTCTAAAGGGAGAGTCTAACCACATATATTCTAAAGGGAGAGTCTGGCCACATATATTCTAAAGGGAGAGTCATACTTGATCTCCATAAACATTCACATAACTGAAGATTTTGCTCATTGGATTTCAATAAAACATGTGCGAGACGTTGATTTCACAATGACGTGACCAGTAGCTTCATAACTGTTCTAACTATTTCAATATTCTACCTTTCTTAAACGTGCTCCTTTACCCTTTAAACAATTCAATTTTTAATTCTTAGGATTTGTTTCCTTTCCCAACTTCTTTCCAATTTATAAATAATTTCTTCATATGAAATTAAAAAAGTAAATTTATTGTCCTTAACTCTATTGCCCAATTTATCCATGAGAAGATTCCTTAGTGAAGGCCACATAAGCCTGCTCAAATGCTCCTCGATGTTTAGTCTGGGAGAGAAGATCCATAAGAAATGAAGATATCTCTAAAACCTGATCAGAGCTAAGCAAACCAGAACCTAAACCAAGATCAATTAATAGAAAATCCAAAAGACAAGAAGATATCTCTAAAACCAGATCAGAGCTAAGTAAACCAGAACCTAAACAAAGATTAATTAATAGAAGATCCATAAGAAAAGAAGATATCTCTAAAACCAGATCAGAGCTAAGTAAACCAGAACCTAAACCAAGATCAATTAATAGAAGATCCATAAGAAAAGAAGATATCTCTAAAACCAGATCAGAGCTAAATAAACCAGAACCTAAACCAAGATCAGCTAATAGAAAATCCATAAGAAATGAAGATATCTATAAAACCTAAGCAGAGCTAAGTAAAGCAGAACCTAAACCAAGATAAATTAATAGAAAGTCTACGAGAAAGGAAGATATCTCTAAAACCTGATCAGAGCTAAGTAAACCAGAACCTAAACCAAGATCAATTAATAGAAAATCAATAAGAAATGAGGATATCTCTAAGACCAGATCAGAGCTAAATAAACCAAAACCTAAACCAATATCAATTAATAGAAGATATCTCTAAAACCAGATCAGAGCTAAGTAAACCAGAACCTAAACCAAGATCAATTAATAGAAAATCAATAAGAAATGAAGATATCTCTAAGACCAGATCAGAGCTAAATAAACCAAAACCTAAACCAATATCAATTAATAGAAGATATCTCTAAAACCAGATCAGAGCTAAGTAAACCAGAACCTAAACCAAGAATCAAGATCAATTAATAGAAAATCCAAAGAAAGGGAGATATCTTTAGAATTGAGTTTACAAAAATCTTTAAAAGAACAGTTTGCGGATTATTGATGTACAAATTAAAAGAATGGTAGAAAATTAAGACAATTAGTTTAAAAACTTCATATCTGATTCATCATAAAGTATATTAGGCTGGGAAGGAAATGACTATGGCAAGAGCCCGCGAAACTTCTAAATCAGTCGAATCTCAAAAGTAAGTTCCAGTTGTAACCTGTTGCAGAAGAATCTCTGGAGCAAAGATCTCCGAGGAACAAAGAGAGCTCCTTCACTGATCTCCAGGCACAGAGCAGCAACATCTGGGAGGAAACCTCCTTAGCCTTAATATTTTAACAATGTTCAAAAAATGCGTCAAGGGGTAAACTCTACAGTCTACATAGTGCACATTAGCTCTCCACACCTGAACTATTTCTCTTAATAATATTAGGATTATAATCATTACAGAAAGAAAACCTTAAAGACAAGCAAATTTATAAAAAAAAGATCTGGTCAACACCTGTCAACAAAATCACACATATGTGATATATCACTGCATTAGCCACTTTTTACATGTGGAAAATTGACAAACCTTGACAATTCCAATTTCACTGAGATCCAAGTTAATTTCTTCCTCTTCCTCCTCCTCCATGTTTACATCTTTGGATTGATCTAGTTTCCTCAGCTCCTGCTCAAGATGTACTGTGTGATCCAAAGGATGTACAGCATGACCCTGAGTGTGGTTGAGTACTGGTGTATCCTTGTTTACAGCTTTCTCAAGGATTCCCTCCAGAATGTTTTCTACAATTTCATCAGAGAATACATCACTTACAACAACCTATATTACAAAATTGTTAAATAAATACCTTACTATAATAAAAGGGCAGATGACAAAATAACCAAGCGCATGACAGCCTATAAATATAGAGCTACATTTACAATACTTAAGTTTATTAAGTCCAGGACCAGGGAAATACAAAATATGTGAAAACTCGGAAAATGGCGACTTTCAAAAGTTCAAAGCTAAAATTGTTAATAGAAACGTGAGGGTGCAAAGCACCCTAAAACCTAGTGTATATATAAACTAACTCACATATTACATATATAAATTATACAATAAACATAACACTGCTGTGAAAATGAACTTTACAGTACTAAAATTAAAAAAAACACAATTAAAAAGTAAAGAAGACATAAATCAAAGTATCTTCCTAAACAAGTACATAAATAATAGGAACAATTTGCATTTAAAAAAAAAACTTGTAAAATGCTACAACCATTTTTCAACAATATTTTTTTCTACAAATATTTAGTTTACTATACCTTATCTAATAGTGCACACTGAATACTGAAATCCTTATCTGACGCTCTAGTTTCCTGTTTCCCAGGTTGCAGCTGGCGGTCAGCTGGGGGGTCACGTGATCCTAATGATCTTTCCAGGGCTCTTTGCAGCTGCTTCATAGCGTCAATATCCTTATATAAATGAGTTCTAAGATGTTCAAAAGTATTTAAATATTAGAGGGAAAATTTACATGAAACGATATTATGTATATCTTAAAACAAAAGATTGTGTCCACTGTGCAGTGTGCATCTATGGTTTCTTTAAAAATTTAAATCATACTTCATAGTAATCTAAATACTTCAGAATCATTTTGCGCTCTGAATCATTTTGGCTGGGATTTAGGGGTGTATAAAATTCTTTCCCCCCAAATGACCCAAGAGGAGGGGAAGGGAAGGAAAAAGGAAAAAAAAGAGGGAAAAAAAAGGAAAAGGGGAAAGAAAAGGAAAAGGGGAAAAAAGGAAAGTAAAAGGGGAAGGGTAACAACAGAACAAAAGGGATAGGTGGGGAAGGGGGAAAGGTAGGGAGGGAAGTGGACAGGGAGGAAAGGAGATAAAAAGTAGAGAGGGGAAAAGTAGGGAAGGGGAAAAGTAGGGAAGGGGAAAAGTAAAGAAGGGGAAAAGTAGGGAAGGGGAAAAGTAGGGAGGGAAAGGGGAAAATTGCGAGGGAAACTGGAAGGTTGAGAGGGAAAGAGGAAGGTTGAGAGGGAATGGTAAAATTAGGGATTAGGGGGACCACAGGGAAGGTAGGGAAGGGAAAAGGAAGGTAGGGAAGTAGAAGGAGAATGTATGGGGAATGTAGGGAAGGGAAGGAGTAGGGGAAAACATTATGGTAGGTTCGCGAATAAGGAAAGGGGAATTTAGGGAAGTGATGGGTTGGAGCGATAGTTCCTAGTCAAATATAAAAAAAAAAATTTGCGCTACGCCCACACATTCAGAACAAGCTATATTTTCTGGAGAACATAAAACACCTTCCCCCCCCCCCCTCCCATTTAAGTGATGGGAAATGATTTATAAGAAAAAAATACTCCAGTACTGACAAATTATCAATCAAAACTTCTTTGCCAGTACTCCCATTACCACAATACCAAAAGTTTAATAAAATTTTCCTGCGGCGCCATCTTTGCAAAATGCATCCTTAAAGGGTTTATTATGCACTGCAGTATAAATCTTAAAAAAATATATCTTTTTAGTTATCGAATTTGGGGTAGGAAATAAAAAAAAATTCAGAGAGAGAGGGGGGGGTAAGAATAATAAAATTGGAATTATATACATTCCTGGATAAATTAATAAAACCAAAATAAAATAAATTTGAAAATACTACTTCTACTTACATTATCCATTGGAAGATGTCCCTCTGGTGAGTTGCTGGCTACAACTGATGCTACTACCCTTGAAACCGTGTAGCCGAGGGTAATGAGGTCCTTAGTCAACCTTCTCCAGTCTTCATTCACCTCATCCTCCACAAGGTCTTCGTAGATACATCTAATATAGTTTAATATTTCAACCTTGTTATCTTAGCTTAACCATGAATTCACCCTGGATTTACCATCAAGTATTTATCAAGTATCAAGTATCAAGTATCAAGTATCAAGAAACATTATTAAGTATTTATAGAAATTTACCACCATATTTTTTTTAATATTTGTGATGACATTGTATTTACCATGTTTGGTTTGGTTTACCTAAGCACGTAAATTACTCCATACATAGGACCATCTCCAGCTGCTTCAAGCAGGTTATTTTCAGCTCCCTAAGCAAAAAGAACAATACAGGGTGGCCAAGAATCGTTGGAAAAAATTTCGTGCAAAAATCCGTACATTTTCAGGGAAAAAAAACGTATAAAAAATCTGTACAATCCTATATTCTCCATGAAAATAAATTTTATAATTATTACTACTAGTCAATTTTTTCATTATAGACGTGCTTATAAATAAAGTAATTATCGCTAAAGCTAAAGAAAAACTATAACTTTGAAAAGGCTGGAACTTTCTCGATGAAGGGGAAATTTCTGTCCAAAAACTATATATCACCGCGAACCAAATAATGGTCTAAAATAAATATTTGAGTGGGACCAAGTTTGGAATTTAAAATACATTTTATCCAACCTACCTGTAATTGTTGAGCTAGAAGGTTCCTCATATATACTCCAGCATAGAACCTTACCTTACCACTCTCTAAACATGTTCACATTAAAGGGAGGAATGTCAAATAGCCTCCATGAAAAGAGTGCATCGCAAGATTTACAACGGTACTCTTTGAACATTTGACTATTCATCGTGTAAATATCTTAATATCTTAAAAATCGATTGAATTGCTGTAAAACCCGATGTAAGCTACGCAGAGTGTGAGCTCACACAGCTGATTCTCTTGAGAGCCTCTAAATTACCAAACATTCTTAATTAAAAGCGGGTTTGAAAAATGCATAAGTAGTTATTTTCTGCAAATTCTATAAAGTGGATATTGATATTTTTAAATATATAACACCTTACCAACAAAGTTTTCAGCAATTACAAACGTTTTTGTAGATTAACTTTTATAAGTACGACACATCAGTCAAAGTTGTTAAGGGTAATGTGGTGATTATTTCATTTCTATCAACTTTTATATAAGAGAGAAATCATGTAAATCAAACACAAATGACCTGAACCTGAACTGGGGTTTAGTATAATTATCAAGAAGTCTAAAAAAAATATTTGGATCCGTCAAGGTCTCCTGATTTCAATTCAATTTTTACTCAAATCCTAGAGGTATCTTCCCATAGCTTTAAATTACTTTCCTAATTTTCATCCTTCTTTCTCTATTTGAATCATGGTTTCAGAGTTATAAATTGGATATTTTTCAAATTTTTAATTTTTCAGTTTTAATCAAAACTAGGCCTTATTTCTAAAGGAATTGAATTCTTGCTAATTCCTGTTCAATTTGTATAATTTCTTTTAATTGGTAACATGATGGACGATGGTGTATGATTCTTTAACATAGACTAGAAGTTTACCCTCCCAACCCTCTTAAACAAACAAAAATGTTTTATTTAAAACCCATGGGATGAGACCTGTCCCAATATTTAAAGATTTAAAACGTAGTGAATCTATAAATGTTAATTCAAAACTTTGGCTCGAGTCGTAATTCCTTAAACCCAACTTTAAGACCCAATCTTCGACCCAACTCTAACGACAGCTTGTGTAACGTGATTGACAGCTGCGAGATCTTAGGTTCGACTTAAGGAGTTAGGCCCAATGAAAATAAAACCGACCATGATTGGTTTTAGTGGAAAATAAGGCTCAATGTTGCGTCTTGTTCTCATAAAAACTGGGAATGCGCCAATTCCTACAATGAAAATCCGCCAAATAGAATATTAAACCGGTTTTTTTCAACTCTGTGAAAAATAAGATGCAGCTTTAATCCGAAAGCTCAAACCGTAAATAAGGTCCAACGACAGCTTAGACCCGAGCCGTATTTCTCCGAGTTTTTTAAATCGCGGGCTCTGGTAGAGCAATTTTCATTACAATTTTACTCTTGTTAGTGGTTACACATAGCTTCAATTTTCAAATAAGTTTTTAACAAAATTTTAGTAGACTAACAAGTAACATATTCATTATTTTCTTTAATAGAAAAAAGTTGCTTTCCAAAAGCTTACCCCATTCACTCTCACAAAAAACATCTTTTATGGATATTTTAAAAGACAACTGACCTGCAGTTCTAATCCCTAGTGCATCTGCTAGAACCCAGGCAGCTGCTGGAGCTTCTAGCAGCAGCTTCATTTTATATCCAGCTGTCATGCAACAGCTTGGTTTACAGCTGACAACCAACTCGTGGATTTCAGACAATATCTCCCGCACACGCTCAGGGTTATTGAGACCTAGACAAGGCCTGTCGTGAGACCGTTATTTTTGCCTCAATAAGAACATTTTCCTCTTATTGAAATTTTTAAATTTATTTTTGTCATACTTTTTTAATAAAAACGATGGATTTGTTTGTCAATTTTTTTCTCTTTTGTATTTTATATGGCTTTACCTATTTTTTAGATTTTTCATTACTTATTTATAGTTTGTTATTTTTTATTAATAGTTTCATTAAATACCTAGAAGATGCGGTGGTGCATCTCTCAGAATATTGAGAGCTTTCTCTTTATTTGTCTCGTATGAGTCCTCAAGCATGGAGTAGAGAGATGAACATCCTAAAGTAAGCAAATTCAGAAAGGAAGGGGCTAAAGGGCAGGGACGGTGGGATTCGGGGGGTTATTTATCCCCCTTTTCATACTTTTCCTTACCCCTTTTTTATTTTGGATTGTAAAATAAAATATATCATGAGTAATTGTTAACCTGGAGAATCTAGGAGTAGTTTTCCTTTATTACACCAGGATGGAGGAGTAGTTAGACTCAACAGTAGGTTCACCTAGTAAATTAAATCTGAGAGACAGGAACTTTTAAAGAGTATAAACTCGTTTCAAATGAGTTTGTTTTCCTCCTTTCTTACCCTGAGCAGCTGAACCCAACCCTGCCTTTACACCTCATATTGGCCAAAGATTGGACTAATAATAAAATATCAATTTTTTAAGGAAAAGAAATTGACAAAGTAAACTTTAAAAAACCAATAATATCAAATTGAGGGTCTTTGTTAATATGCAAACGTTTGACAACGCTCTCCCATCTGTTATAAACTATTCCAGTCAGTGCTTAGGATCCATGCCATTTTGATGCGGTTTCGGATCAAGAATCCGCCCTGAAAAAAATGGATCCTGATCCGGATTCAGTAACCCTTTCTTTAAGATTTACTCATTTGTTGAGCTAAGATTGCTCCTCTAATGAAAGTCATTTTTAAGGACTGGGAAAGAGACAACAGAGAGAGATCCAGCCAACCCAGATGTTGTCCTGGTGTTTTATATTTGTATATTTGTGCTTTATATTTACATGAGAAATATCGTCTGATTAGTATTTATCTGAAGATCTGTACCATTTCAGATAACAATTATACAATGAGATTAGACCTCAATTATTGAGTAAATAGCCATTAGAACCACCAGGAAAACATCCTTAAAGTCTCATTTACATTTATTATGTTTATTGATATTCTAAGCCATTGTTGGCATTCTTATATTAAACCTAATAAGTATGTTTGTGATAGATTTTCAACCTATCAAAGACCTGAGAGCTGCAGGAAAGTGATTCTATATTATATCTGTTACAGATAAATATATGAGTTCCCAGGTTAGAGCCGGACGGTTTAAAGGTGTGGAGAATAGGGGCGTGGCCGATATGCCTCGATCTGGCGAATCCCTAAGGTTCGTAGATCAACATCATTTTTATTTAAAGAAGAATTTTTCTTCGCTTATTTTTATGCCAAACTTTGTGAATCATACAGGGTTCAGGAAATTTTAAACGATCACTCTTTTCAACAGATAAGATTTGGGGTTTGAGAGCACGTTTCAGTTCTGGCTTGATATTTTGCCCTTAAATTCCGGGTCCGTGAATCCGCATATTTTTGGCGGATCTCGATCCAAGAAGCTAAAATGTTGTTGCGCCCCCCCCCTGGG